CATCCTTTCAAATCATAGTAGTTGAAAATCTTTCAAGATTATTGTGCATTAATAAGTAAAACACAAATCATTTACACTTTGTGAGGCTCTTCGATCTCTCTTCAACTGTTGAGCAAACTTTTTGGTATGCCATTGGAATCAAGTTAAATATATCACTTTGATTCCATTGTTTTAAAACCTAGAATGGAGACAGTCTGATCTGTTGTGCGGGTCAGGGTCGATCGGTCCAATCGGTTGGACCGATGACATCATACTAACATCAGCATGATGAGTAAACACCTCTAAAAAACCAGATCTTTTAATTTTGAACAAGTTTCAAATTTTCAATAACAGCTTAATTACAGCACCAACATAATTCAAAATCAATAACAATCCAAACATGATTTAACAACAATCCCACATACGATATAATATGTAATAGCTCCACCAAAAATTTATAATCGACAAAAACTTTGTAGATTACAACATGCTTGAAATGCGAAATCAGAAGGCTATTCCAAAAGGCACCTTAAATTTAATTTAAGCATTATATCTCTTATTTCATGTTGGGCAAATCTAGTTATTCAACAGGGGAGAAAACACAAATAATCTGAGTACCTTCAAAGTATCTTCCAGATTCGAGTAAAATAATTCTGTAACTTCTATCAAATCAAAACTTCCAAATTTGGAAGATTCTGCCAAAAAAGAAAAAATCACTTCCAATCAAATAAACCCAGCATTATAATAAAAACAAAACTTCCAATCAAATAATCAAAACAATGCTTCCGAATCCAAAAAAAGAGAATCAAATAAACAGATGTACCTTAATTTTCGTCGTCGTTGATTTCAAGCGAGGGAGGGAGGCGGTGTCGTCATGCGAGCAAGGAGAGAGGCGACATCGTCGTTGTCGAGCAAGGATGGAGGCATGTCGTCGTCATCGAGCAAGGAGGGAGGCTTTGTCGCGATTTCCAACGAGGGAGAGAGGTGTCGTCGATTTTAGAGAGTGGAGTTGTGATTGAGACAATGGTTGCGATTTCAAACTTTAGAGAGTGAAGTTGATTGAGATTGAGGAGTGATTTCAAAGAGTGGCCACGAATTTCAGAGAGTGGGTTGCATAGAGAAACTGAAAAATGAATAGATTTTGGGCTTTTTCTTGTGAAATAGTGAAAGGTTTATCAAGCGGTCCGATTGGATAGCGGTTTAAATTGTTCAACCGGTTTAATGGGGGTTTAAAGCGGCTTTTTAAGTATAAATGAGTTTTATATAACCGAACCGGACACACAACCAGGTCCTAGTCGAATCGGTTGGACCGGCCAGTCGATCCGGGTTTTAAAACGGCGTTGATTCTTCATCAATTATTGCCAGGATCTGGGTTGTTTACATTATACTGAAGAGTATGGCATGCAACATTTCATTCAAATCTACTAAAGTATATAATCACATTAAATATCAGAAAACATTTCCTAAAACAAAGAGTTGGCAACCAACCTGTGTTCGAGCTCGAGCTTAGCCTCGAGCGTGTTGTTCGAACCAAGCCCTCAAGCTCGAATCAGCAGGTTGGATGCCCAGTCTGCAGCATTCTCTTTATTATAAGGCAAATTGTGTGCAGAACTCATGATCACAACCTTTATTATAGTATTATGTATCATTGCTCTCGGTATGGAAGGATTTGACCTCGAAACAGAAAAAATAAACAATCCTAATATACAAAGAGATCAGAGATAACAACTTCTGAATTCAATTGTCAGATAACGGAGATTGAAAAACAGGTCAAAGATAACATCATGAATGTTGAAAATAATACATGCAACCAGACATTAAAACTCTGTTTTCCTTTTTTTCGGAGTTGATCATTGTAATTTTGATCAGCCATATCTATGTTGCATAAAATTTCCATCGATTTACACAAATCTAATCTGAACCAACAGCATCGCCAACTTAATGTACCACCGATAGAGCCATCAATAATATCACAGACCTCACAAAAACAGAACTGCTAATTAAATAACTCACCACTACAACAATATACTGCCTTTGACAAACCAAACAACACACGCCACCATTACCGTGTTCTAGTTATTTGACTTACACACGAGCAGTTATATCACTACCATCACTCACTACCACGTTATCGAAGTCCAAACTTTTGTGCTTGCATTTGTCCCACCTCTTCATCAGCTGAGAATGACTGGATGCCAGTCTGCAGTATCTCTTTATTATATCCATCCCGAAAGCAGAATCAGATGACTGTCAAGGAGTAATTTCTAATAAGACAAAGGAACACATGCATCACAACAAATTTATCTTGCTACCTCAATTCAACGAGGATACGGATTATTTGGTTGATGGCATGAATAAAGAAAGCAGTAAAAAAAATCACTACATTTGCTTATACACATAGTCGTTCATTTGCCTTTTTTCTTAAAAAAAATACATAAAATTTCGGCTAACTTATACTACGGTGGGAAAGGTTCCGCATCTAATAAGAAGGTTGTGAATTAATTTTCTAATCATATGCACCAATAACTGGTTCACTTATAGTTCAGACTAATGCAACAATCAACTGTGTTCAGAGTTCAGACTTACTAGTAGTTATATGCAAATAGCGAAAAGCCAATTATAAGAAAGAAGATATAAAATTAAACCAAACAATTTGTAACCGAATCAGGTGCGACACTATAAAGTTTCATTTCATCAAATACTTTCCGGCACTCTCCAACTTTATTTCATAGAAAAAGAGTCAAAGATTCTGTCAGGACTCGACTATTACAAGATAAAACCACTAAATAAGCTCTAAATTTCACAGCGAAGAGCTAGGAGATGACATGCAGAATGATCTTTCAAAAAAAAATTAAATCACACAATGGACAGGCACCTTACATGTCCTGAATATGTACGTCCGTCCATATAATATATGGACGGACATCCATAATTTGTGTTTAATTTTTTTTTTTATTTAAACAATGAATGGGCATCTATTCTAAGTGAACATCATCGTTTACTATGAACTCCCGTCCATTCTTATATGGATGCCCTTCCATTCTTATATGGACGCCCGGCCATAATAAATAGACACCGTCCATATAGATGGACGGGTTGTCCATTATTTTTCATTTAAAATTTTTTGAACGGGAGTCCATTAAATATAGACGGGCGTCCATAAATATGGAGGTCGTTTATTCATGAAAAACTCCAACATGATGCATGTTGCCATGTTCTGTACAAAATTGATGCCTATGCATTGCTCATTCAAGGCTGAGGTGCAGTTCATTAGATAGAGAATCACATCGTCATTACCTTCTTTACAATCATTTTGGAGGAATTTCTCAAGCTGGGTTACTTTAAGTACTAAATCTTGTGGTATGGTTGTAGTCACTTTACCTGGTTTTGTGAATGAAGAAGGAGAAGAAGAAAAACGACGAATCAAGCTTTTGAGCACCATTTCAGTAGCGCCGTTTGTGCCTTGTGGATTATCTGGGGTTCAAACAAACTTCAAACTGGCTTAGTCTTTTTAAGGTAGGGTTTGCTAAACATTCATCTTTCCTCTTTATATATTTTTTCGAAAATGATAGAATCACAAAAGGATGTGCACCGTGTATCGAATGACATGACAAAATTCTGATTGTTGATTTATTTTCAATTAATATTAATCAACGATCAAGATTTTATCACGTTATTAGGGGTGTACAGCTTACAACCTTCTATTGCTATAGTATTAATTAAAATTGATAGAAAAATTCAAAAAGAGTCGTCAATATGTTAAACTTAATTTTTCTCTTTGTCACTATTCCTCTCTTTTTCATTTGTTTAAATTTTGTCCGTCCAAGTTCAAATCACTAACTAATGTCTATCTCTAATTGGCCAAAAGAAATCCACCTACCCAAAGTTGGGCATAAAGACTGATTAATACCCGAAAAGTTTAGAAATAATAAACAAATATTTTCTATCATATTCTGTTAGGGATTTATATCTGCTAAAAGATAATATAGTAATTTTATCTACATTCACAAAATTTTTAAATTTTAAATTTTTTTCTCCGTATTCATTCTCACACCAACCTGTTTGCACAACCTTCTTGCATCATCAATCAATTTTTTGATCGGATTTAACATTTTTCTGTGAAGTTTGGTGATAAACAGTGCCACTAACCCTTGTTGGCACACGTTGGGAATAAAGATCGGGAGATATTCCAGTCTTTTTATCATTTTTGTCTTTTAACAAATGAAAATTCTTAACAGAATATAACGAAAAGTGGGTGTTTGTCATTTCCAAACCTTTTAGATATCACTTTGTCTATATAGCAAACTTTGGGTATGTGTAAGACGTTCCCCCTTTCTAATTAGATAAATAAAACATAATGAATTCATATAGAAATGCCCATGTCCACACCGGTTTCGCCTCCATACCCAACATGCACACGTACAAGAAATGAAGGAAACAACTTCAAACATTCATGATAATTTTCATGCTTTACAAGTAGATCTACGATTATGGAAAATGTAGTTTTATATTTGCTAATTTGTTCTATAGCTACAGGCAGAGGCGGATCCAGAAATCTTTATTAGGGTGGGCCAAACAAAAATTTTTAGTTCTAAAATTGAGAGTGGGATACAATTTTTTAATATTTGACAATAAAAATTGAGGGTAGGCCAAAGTCAAACTAAATGAAAAAATGTATTTAATTTTTATTTTTTAAAAATTAAGGGTGGGCCATGGCCCACCCTTAATACACTTTGGATCCGCCCCTGGCTACAGGTAATGAGAAGTCGAACAGGTTCTGGGAGGCAGAATTACCACCGAATTTTTACAGAAGCTTATGATTTATCCGCACTAAGTAAATTATCAACTGAAGCTTATGATTTATCAAATGAAGTTGAAGACAGCATTGGTTAATATCATCTTCTACTAATTATACTATGGATTTTACAGGTATGAAGAGAAAAGATGGGATCCAAAGGGAGAAACAGAACCAGCTGCAAAAACTGCTGAAACGAACCATAACATTAACAAGTTCCCAGAAGGTGTCAAAGGTGGTGTTTCAAGAAAACCAAGGGTACTCTCTCTAGAGGATGAGATTTTTACTAAGCACATGTCTCAAACAACTCCTCCAGCTATGAAGTCCCGAAGGGTAATGGCAATAGTTCTTTATATGTTTTCCCTTTTTGCTTTAGTTAAAGAAGATGTGTTTCATACTCCATCCCCATACATCAGATCCCTTGTCACCCTTTGATATAGAGGATAAGTTAGGCCAATTTTTCCTTTAGTGTCAGTGATGAGAAGGGTCTAAATGTAAGGTCTTGTCAATATGTCTTCTTTTCATCTCCATCTTTAACCTGTCCACATTTGATTTTCACACATTTATTTCTATGTGTGTCCATGATTACTCGGTTTGTTTGTTATTAGGCTTTGTTATCAATTGCTGGGGTGTAGGGATATATTTCAAAGGTTCTAGGAGTACCAAAATACTCTGGTATGCCCAATGCACACAAGAATTTGTAAAGGAAATCCTCCCTGAATATTGGTATATATCAACTAGCTTTCTCTAGCCAGTAATTCAATACTTTAAATACCATTATGATCGCAAACGGACACGGGGCAAGAGGTCTATATTGTGCATCACAATATTGTTATTTTGGCCTAGCCTAGGTTCTTTGGACGAGACTGCGATCTGTACAAGAAGTACAGCAGAATCTGGTTCCATTGCGGGTTATATTACTTGCACTCTAACTAGATGAGACATATGAGTTGATTTGGTGTCGACATTTGGATTTACTGAAGGTGTCTTCAAACTTTAAAGAGGTCTTACACTAGATGGATTTTGGGAATCTTCTTCTAGTAAATTGAGCATCATTTTGTTAAACTTATTTTTCCTCAGTTTGATAACTAAGAATTAGTCACATAATTACTTACCATATCTCTAAGCTTTAAATTGTATTATATAGTTTTTGCTTTAAATTCCAAAAAGAAAATAGGCGTATGTGTTAAGGGATCTGAGAAAAAGAATTTTACTCTTCCACATTCCTGTGCTAGGACAATGTGTTCGTATGTCTATCAGTTCGAAGACTCTCTTTATAAATTTCTTGTTTTTTCTTTTGTGGTTTCATTACATGTATTTTAGGGGTTTGCATATTAAAGACCATATTCCCTATGCAGCGATCGGTAGATTTGAACATAGTCATTGCTTCACCTCTGCTATCGCCACTATTGACAGAACTCAATACACCTGCAATAAAGATAAATGGAGCATCTGAATTTTACAACTTGCTTTATGTCAGCAATGGGAACAAGGATCATTCTATTGTTCCTCCTTCACGATGGGCGACTTTCAATTATAAGACAACTACTTGCATCAAACATGCTACGTTTTCTCTCCATTCAATTCTTCAAACACCTTGATACTATAGTAGACACCGATGGAAGCACCATAAAATTTACGAAGTAAATTAGATTTATAAAAAGAAAAAATAAATCACCAAACTTAGATGAAACTAACCCACGATAAAAAGCACACTTTCATTCACGATATGCAATATTTCTTAGTTTTTCAACGAATTTTTTTGTTGTAGGAGCAGATTTGTCAGACTCAGGCCATGGAATTAATAAAGATATCCAACTAGCAATTACTGTAGAAGTCACCAAGTTTACAAACTGAGTGAAAATTGCATTGATATCAACAAGAATTGGTGACTTTGCACATCCTTTCAAATCATAGTAAGTTGAAAAATCTTTCAAGATTATTGTGCATTAATAAGTAAAACACAACATCATTTACACTTTGTGAGGCTCTTCGATCTCTCTTCAACTGTTGAGCAAACTTTTTGGTATGCCATTGGAATCAAGTTAAATATATCACTTTGATTCCATTGTTTTAAAACCTAGACTGGACGACAGTCTGATCTGTTGTGCGGGTCAGGGGTCGATCGATCCAATTGGTTGGACCGATGACATCATCATACTAACATCAGCATGATGATGTAAACACCTCTGAAAAAAACCAGATCTTTTAATTTTTGAACAAGTTTCAAATTTTCAATAACAGCTTAATTACAGCATCAACATAATTCAAAATCAATAACAATCCAAACATGATTTAACAACAATCCCAACATACGATATAATATGTAATAGCTCCACCAAAAATTTATAATCGACAAAAACTTTTGTAGATTACAACATGCTTGAAATGCGAAATCAGAAGGCTATTCCAAAAGGCACCTTAACTTTTAATTTAAGCATTATATCTCTTTATTCTCAAGTTTGGGCAAATCTAGGTTATTCAACCAGAGGGAGAAAACACAAATAATCTGAGTACCTTCAAAGTATCTTCCAGATTCGAGTAAAATAATTCTGTAACTTCTAATCAAATCAAAACTTCCAAATTTGGAAGATTCTGCCAAAAAAAGAAAAAATCAACTTCCAATCAAATAAACCAAGCATTATAATAAAAACAAAACTTCCAATCAAATAATCAAAACAATGCTTCCGAATCCAAAAAAAGAGAATCAAATAAACCAGATGTACCTTTAATTTTCGTCGTCGTTGATTTCAAGCGAGGGAGGGAGGCGTTGTCGTCATCGTCGAGCAAGGAGAGAGGCGACATCGTCGTTGTCGAGCAAGGATGGAGGCATCGTCGTCGTCATCGAGCAAGGAGGGAGGTTTTGTCGTTGATTTCCAATGAGGGAGAGAGGTGTCGTCGATTTTAGAGAGTGGAGTTGTGATTGAGACAATGGTTGCGATTTCAGACTTTAGAGAGTGAAGTTGATTGAGATTGAGGAGTGATTTCAAAGAGTGGCCACGAATTTCAGAGAGTGGTTGCATAGAGAAACTGAAAAATGAATAGATTTTGGGCTTTTTCTTGTGAAATAGTGAACCGGTTTATCAAGCGGTCCGATTGGATAAGGCGATTTAAATTGTCCAACCGGTTTAATGGTGGGTTAAAGCGGCTTTTTAAGTATAAATGAGTTTTATATTAACCCGAACCGGACACACAACCAGGTCCTAGTCGAATCGGTTGGACCGGCCAGTCCGATCCGGGTTTTAAAACGGCGTTCGATTCTTCTCATCAATTCATTGCCAGGATCGCTTGGGTTGTTTAACATTATACTGAAGAGTATGGCATGCAACATTTCATTCAAATTTACTAAAGTATATAATCACCATTAAATATATCAGAAAACATTTCCTAAAAACTAAAGAGTATGGCAACCAACCTGCTGATTCGAGCTCGAGCTTAGCCTCGAGCTGGTGTTGTTCGAACCAAGCCCTCAAGCTCGAATCAGCAGGTTGGATGCCCAGTCTGCAGCATTCTCTTTATTATAAGGCAAATTGTGTGCAGAACTCATGATCACAACCTTTATTATAGTATTATGTATCATTGCCATCGCGGCTATGGAAGGATTTGACCTCGAAACAGAAAAAATAAACAATCCTAATATACAAAGAGATCAGAGATAACAACTTCTGAATTCAATTGTCAGATAACGGAGATTGAAAAACAGGTCAAAGATAACATCATGAATGTTGAAAATAATACATGCAACCAGACAATTAAAACCTTCTGTTTTCCTTTTTCTTCGGAGTTGATCATTTGTAATTTTGATCAGCCATATCTATGTTGCATTAAAATTTCCATCAGATTTACACAAATCTAATCTGAACCACCACCAGCATCGCCAACTCTAATGTTACCACCGATTAGAGCCATCAATAATATCACAGACATCACCAAAAACCAGAACTGCTAATTAAATAACTCACCACTACAACCAATATACTGCCTTTGACAGAACCAAAACAACACACGCCACCATTACCGTGTTCTAGTTATTTGACTTCCACAACACGAGCAGTTAATTCACTACCATCACTCACTACCACGTTATCGAAGTCCAAACTTTTGTGCTTGCATTTGTCCCCAACTCTTTCATCAGCTGAGAATGACTGGATGCCTAGTCTGCAGTATTCTCTTTATTATATCCATCCCGAAAGCAGAATCTGATGAACTGTCAAGGAGTAATTTCTAATAAGACAAAGGAAACACATGCATCAACAACAATTTATCTTGCTACCTCAATTCAACGAGGATATCGGATTATTTGGTTGATGGCATGAATAAAGAAAGCAGTAAAAAAAATCACTATCATTTGCCTTATACACTATAGTCGTTCATTTGCCTTTTTTCTTAAAAAAAATACATAAAATTTCGGCTAACTTATTACTACGGTAAGGGAAAGGTTCCGCATCTAATAAGAAGGTTGTGAATTAATATTTCTTAATCATATGCAACCAATCAACTGTGTTCAGACTTATAGTTCAGACGTATATGCAACCAATCAACTGTGTTCAGAGTTCAGACTTACTAGTTAATAGTTATATGCAAATAGCGAAAAGCCAATTATAAGAAAGGAAGATAATAAAATTAAACCAAACAATTCTGTAACCGAATCAGGTGCGACACTATAAAGTTTCATTTCATCAAATACTTTCCGGGCATCTCCAACTTTATTTCATAGAAAAAGAGTCAAAGATTCTGTCAGGACTTCGACTATCTACAAGATAAAAACCACTAAATACGTCTAAATTTCACAGCGAAGAGCTCAGGAGATGACATGCAGAACTGATCTTTTCAAAAAAAAATTAAATCACACAATGGACAGGCATCCCTTACATGTCCTTTGAATATGTACGTCCGTCCATATAATATATGGACGGACATCCATAATTTTTGTTTTAATTTTTTTTTTATTTTAAACAATGAATGGGCATCTATTCTAAGTGAACATTCATCCGTTTACTATGAACTCCCGTCCATTCTTATATGGATGCCCTTCCATTCTTATATGGACGCCCGTCCATAATAAATAGACACCCGTCCATATAAGATGGACGGGTGTCCATTATTTTTCATTTAAAATTTTTTGAACGGGAGTCCATTAAATATAGACGGGCGTCCATAAATATTGGACGGTCGTTTATTCATGAAAAACTCCAACATGATCGCATTGATTGCCATGTTCTGTACAAAAATTTGATGCCTATAGCATTGCTCATTCAAGGCTGAGTGCAGTTCATTAGATAGAGAATCACATCGTCGTTGTTGAGCAAGGAGGGAGGCATTGTCATCATCGTCGTTGTTGAGCAAGGAGGGGGCGTCGTCGTCGTTGTCGTCGAGCAATGAGGGAGGGGTCGTTGTCGATTTCCAGCGAGGGAGGGAGGTTTCGTCGATTTTAGAGAGTGGAGTTGTGATTGAGACAATGGTTGCGATTTCAGACTTCAGAGAGTGATGTTGATCGAGACTGAGGGGTGATTTCAAAGAGTGGTCGCAAATTTCAGAGGGTGACACCGTAGAGAAACTTCAAAATGAATAGATTTAGGGCTTTTTTTACTTGTGAAATAGTGAACCTATTTATCAAGCGGTCCGATTGGATCAGACGGTTTAAACTGTTCACCTGATCTAATGGTGGGTTAAAGAGGCTTTTTAAGTACAAACGGGTTTTATATTAACCTCGACCGGATACACAACCGACTCCTGATCGGTTGGACCGGCCAATCCGATCCGGGTTTTAAAACAAGATTCGATTCTTCTCGTCGATTCATTGCTTGGATCTCTTGGGTTGTATAACATTATACTGAAGAGTATGGCATGGAACATTTCAATCCAACCTACTAAAGTATATAATCACCATTAAATATGTCAGAAAAAATTTCCTAAAAACTAAAGAGTATGGCAGCCAACCTGCTGATTCGAGCTCGAGTTTAGCCTCGAGCTGGTGTTGTTCGAACCAATCCCTTAAGCTCGAATCAGCAGGTTGGATGCCCAGTCTGCGGCATTCTCTTTATTATAAGGCACATTGTGCGCAGAACTCATGATCACAACCTTATTATAGTATTATGTATCATTGTCTCTAGGCTATGGAAGGATTTGACCCCGAATCAGAACAAATAAACAATCCGAATATACAAAGGGATCAGAGATAACAACTTCTGAATTTCAATTGTCAGATAACGGAGGTTGAAAAAAAGGTCAAAGATAACATCATGAATGTTGAAAATAATACATGTAACTAGACAGTTAAAACCTTCTGTTTTCCTTTTTCTTCGGAGTTGATCATTGNGCTAAACATTCATCTTTCCTCTTTATATATTTTTTATTTACTTTTTTATCTTAATTAAAATTGATAGAAAAATTCAAAAAGAACGTCAATATGTTAAACTTAATTTTTCTCTTTGTCACTATTCCTCTCTTTTTCATTTGTTTAAATTTTGTCACTAACTAATGTCTATTTCTAATTGGCCCAGCGAATTCCACCTGCCCAAATTTGGGCATAAACACTGATTGATATCCGACAAGTTTAGAAATAACAAACAAAATACTTTCCGTCATATTTTATTAGGGATTTCTATCTATTAAAAGACAATATAATAATTTCATCTATATTCACAAAATTTTTAAATTTTAAATTTTTTTCTCCATATTCATTCTCACCCTAAGCCTGGTTGCACAGCCCTCTTGCATCAACGATCGATTTTTTGATCGGATTTAACATTTTTCTGTAAAATTCGGTGATAAACAGTGGCACTAACCCTTGTTGACACACGTTGGGAATAGAGATCGAAAGGTATTCCAGTCTTTTTATCATTTTTGTCTTTTAACAAATGAAAATTCATAATAGAACATAACGAAAAGTAGGTGTTTGTAATTTTTAAATATTTTAGATACCACTATGTCTATACAATAAACTTTGGGTATATGTAAGTCATTCGTCCTTTCTAATTAAATAAATAAAACATGATGAATTCTTATAGAAATGCCCATGTCCACACCGGTTTCGCCTCCATACCCAACATGCACACGTACAAATAGTTTTTATAGTCAAGTGCGGCAATATTTACCGTGTCAGCTTCTCGTTGACTTTTGGACAGAAATGAAGGAAACAACTTCAAACATTCTTGATAATTTTCATGCTTTACAAGTAGATCTAAGATTATGGAAAATGTAGTTTTATATTTGCTAATTTGTTCTATAGCTATAGGTAATGAGAAGTCGAACAAGTTCTGGGAGGCAGAATTACCACCGAATTTTGACAGAAGTAGAATTGAGAAATTTATCCGCACTAAGTAAATTATCAACTGAAGCTTATGATTTATCAAATGAACTTGAAGACACCATTGGTTAATATCATCTTCTACTAATTATACTATGGATTTTACAGGTATGAAGATAAAAGATGGGATCCAAAGGGAGAAACAGAACCAGCTGCAAAAACTGCTGAAACGAACCATAACATTAACAAGTTCCCAGAAGGTGTCAAAGGTGGTGTTTCAAGAAAACCAAGGGTACTCTCTCTAGAGGATGAGATTTTTACTAAGCACNCCTGGTTTTATGAATGAAGAAGGAGAAGAAGAAAAACGACGAATCAAGCTTTTGAGCACCATTTCAGTAGCGCCGTTTGTGCCTTGTGGATTATCTGGTGTTCAAACAAACTTCAAACTGGCTTAGTCTTTTTAAGGTAGGGTTTGCTAAACATTCATCTTTCCTCTTTATATATTTTTTATTTACTTTTATTATCTTAATTAAAATTGATAGAAAAATTCAAAAAGAGCATCAATATGTTAAAAAGACTATTCCTCTCTTTTTCATTTGTTTTAAATTTTGTCACTAACTAATGTCTATTTCTAATTGGCCGAACGACTTCCACCTACCCAAAGTTTGGCATAAAGGCATATTGATACTCAAAAGGTTTGGAAATGACAAACAAATATTTTCTGTCAATATCTGTTAAGGACTTTTGTCTTGTTAAAAGATAGTATAGTAATTTCATCAACATTTACAAAATTTTTAAATTTTAAATTTTTTTCTCCGTATTCATTCTCTCCCCAAGCCCGTTTGCACAACCTTGTTGCGTCATCGATCCATTTTTTGACCGGTTTTAGCATTTTTTTGTGAAGTTCGGTGATAAATAGTGATACTGGCCTTTGTTGGCGCGCGTTGGGAATGGAGATTGGGGGGTATTCTAGTCTTTTTACCTTTTTTATCTTTTAACAGATGAAAATTCCTAATAGAACATAACGGAAAGTGAGTGTTTGTCATTTCCATTGCGGGTTATATTACTTGCACTCTAACTAGATGAGACGTATGAGTTGATTTGGTCGGTATTTGCATTTGTTGAAGGTGTCTTCAAACTTTAAAGAGGTCTTACATTAGATGGATTTTGGGGATCTTCTTCTATTAAAATGAGCATCATTTTGTTAAACTTATTTTTCCTCACTTTGATAACTAAGAATTAGTCTTATAATTACTTATGGTATCTCTAAGCATTAAATTGCATTATATAGTTTTTGATATATTCCAAAACGAAAATAGGTGTATGTGTTAAGGGATCTAAGAGAAAGAATTTCACTCTGCCACATGCTTGTGCAAGGACAATGTGTTCGCATGTCTATTAGTTTGGAGACTCTCTTTACGAATTTCTTGTTTTTTCTTTTGTGGTTTCATTACATGTATTTTAGGGGTTTGCATATTAAAGACCATATTCCCTATGCAGCGATCGACAGATTTGAACATGGTCATTGCTTCACCTCTGTTGTCGCCACCATTAACAGAACTCAATACACCCGCAACGAAGACAAATGGAGCATATGAATTTTACAACTTGCTTTATGTCAGAAACGAGATCAAGGATCATTCTATTGTTCCTCCATTACGCTGGGTGACTTTCGATTGTAAGACAACTATGTTTTCTCTCCATTGAGTTCTTCAAACATCTTGATACTATATAGTAGACATCTATGGAAACACCATAGAATTTACAAATTAATTTAGGTTGATAAAAGGAAAAAAAAGATCACCTAGTTTAAATTGAACTAACCCGTGATAAAAAGTACACTTTATTCACGATATTTAATACTTCTGATTTTTTCGGTGAATTTTGTGGTTGCAGGAGTAGATTTGTCAGACTTAAGCCATGGAACTAATAGAGATATCCAACAAGCAGTTGCAATAGAAGTCACTAAGTTTACAAACTTTAAGTCAAAATTGCATTGATATCAACTAGAATTGGTTGCTTTGCACATCCTTTCAGATCATAGTAAGTTGAACAATCTTTCAAGATTATTGTACATTAATGTGAGGCTCTTCAATCTCTCTTCAACTGCTGAGCAAACTTTTTGTATGTCATTGAAATCAAGTTAAATATATCACTTTAATTCCATTGTTTTAAAACCCGGAACGGAAGACAACTTGATATACTGTCGGTCTCAGGTCGATCAATCCAATTGGTTGGACTGGTTGGTTGGACTGATGATGTCATCATGATGACATCAACACTTCCAAAAAAATCTAGATTTTTTATTTTTGAACAAGTTTCAAATTTTCAATAACAGCATAGTTACAGCACCAACATATTTTAAATTCCATAACAATCCAATCATGATTTAACAACAATCCCAACATACAATATAATATGTTATAGCTCCACCAAAAATTTATAATTGACAAAAACTTTTGCAGATTGCAACATGCTTGAAATGCGGAAACATAATACTATTCCAAAAGGCACCTTAACTTTTAATTTAAGCATTATGTCTCTTTATTCTCAGGTTTGGGCAAATCTGGGTCATTCAACCAAAGGGAGAAAACACAAATAATATGAGTACCTTCATAGTATCTTTCAGATTTGAGTAAAATAATTCTGGAACTTCCAATCAAAATAAAACTTCCAAATCTAGAGGATTCTGCCAAAAAAGAAAAAATCAACTTCCAATCAAATAATCAAAACAATACTTCCGAATCCAAAAAAAGAGAATCAAATAAACAAGATGTATCTTCAATTGTCATTGTCGTCGATTTCGAGCGAGGGAGAAGGTGTCGTGGTCATCGTCGAGCAAGGAAGGAGGCGTCATCATCGTCGTTGAGAAAGGAGGGAGGCATCGTCATCGTTGTGGAGCAAGGAGGTAGGCGTTGTCGTCGAGCAAGGAGGGAGGCGTCGTCATCGATTTCCAACGAGGGAGGGAGGTTTCGTCGATTTTAAAGAGTGGAGTTGTGATTGAGACAATGGTTATGATTTCAAACTTCAGAGAGTGAAATTGATTGAGATTGACTACATAGAGAAATTGAAAATTGAATAGATTTAGGGCTTTTTTTTACTTGTGAATTAGTGAACTGGTTTATCAAGCGGTCCGATTGGATCGGGTGATTTAAATTGTTTACCCAGTTTAATGGTAGGTTAAAGTGGCTTTTCAAGTATAAATGGGTTTTATATTAACCCGGACACACAACCGGGTCCCAATCGAACCGGTTGGACACGTCGATCCAGTTCGGGTTTTAAAACAGGGTTCGATTCTTCTCACCGATTCATTGCTAAGATCCCTTGGGTTGTATAACATTATACTGAAGAGTATGGCATGCAACATTTCAATCCAACCTACTGAAGTATATAATCACCATTAAATATATCAGAAAACATTTCCAAAAAACTAAAGAGTATGGCAGCCAACCTGCTGATTCGAGCTCGAGTTTAGCCTCGAGCTGTTGTCGTTCGAACCAATCCCTTAAGCTCGAATCAGCAGGTTGGATGCCCAGTCTGCAGCATTCTCTTTATTATAAGGCACATTGTGTGCAGAACTCATGATCACAACCTTTATTATACTATTATGTATCATTGTCTCTAGGCTATGGAAGGATTTGACCTCGAATCAGAACAAATAAACAATCCGAATATACAAAGAGATCAGAGATAACAACTTCTGAATTCAATTGTCAGATAACAGAGATTGAAAAACAGGTAAAAGATAACATCATGAATGTTGAAAATAATACATGTAACTAGACAGTTAGAACCTTCTGTTTTCCTTTTTCTTCGGAGTTGATCATTGTAATTTTGATCAACCATATCTATGTTGCATTAAAATTTCCATCAGATTTACACAAATCTAATCTGAACCACCACCAGCATCGACAAATTCTAATGTTACCACCGATTAGAGCCATCAATAATATCACTGCCATCACCAAAAACCAGAACTGCTAATTAAATGACTCACCAGTACAACCAATATTCTGCCTTTGACAAAACTAAAACAACACACGCCACCATTATCGTGTTCTAGTTATTTGACTCCCACAACACGAGCAGTTAATTCACTTCCATCACTCACTACCATGTTATTGAAGTCCAAACTTTTGTGTTTGCATTTGTGCATATGAGAGACCCAAAACCACTTTATTCTCCCCAACTCTTTCATCAGCTGAGAATGATTGGATGCCCAGTCTGCAGTATTCTCTTTATTATGTCCATCCCGAAGAAGAACTGTCAAGGAGTAATTTCTTATAAGACAAAGGCAACACCTGCATCAATAACAATTTATCTTACTACCTCAACTCAATGAGGAGATCGGATTATTTGGTTGATGGCATGAATAGAGAAAGCAGTAAAACAGATTACTATCATTTGCATTATACAAAATATTCGTTCATTTGCCTTTTTTCTTAATAAAAATACATAAAATTTCAGCTAACTTTTTACTATGGTTGGGGAAAGGTTCCGCATCTAATCAGAAGGTTGTGAATTAATATTTCTTAATCATATGCAACCAATCAACGGTGTTCAGAGTTCAGACTTACTAGTTATATGCAAATAGTGAAAAGCCAATTATAAGAAAAGAAGATAACAAAATTAAAACCAAAGAAGATGCATATATATTAAAAGATGATCTAGGATTACCATTTACTAAGAGTTTATATATAAAAAGTATGTCAAATATGCTTACATGCAGCTTGTAATAACAAATCATATACCTTTTGTAGCTTCACTTCTTCACAAAACCCATGGATGAAGATGGAATATGTCACAACGTCTAGCAATAGGCCTTTTTGAGGCAACTGGTGAAATATCTCCAAAGCAATTTCGATCATTCCATTTACAAACCCATCAATGAGGCTGGCAATTTTAAACAAGTAGTTCTCCAAGTACAAAACAATTTTGCTACCCCAGAACACCATTCTTACATATCCTACAACCAAAATATTACATGCAACCGAATCAGGTGCGACACTGTAAAGTTCATCTCATCAACTAGTTTCCGTGCATCTCCGCTTCATTTGATAGAAAAGACTGGTTAACAAAGTGTCATATGTAAACCTGTTTGTTTAATTCCCTTTGAAATCATTCCCTTGCAAAGACTGATAGAATTCTCTAATTCAAACCACTTTGAAGAATCAATTCCAACAACCAATTAGCTTCTCTATCTTCCCCTCCTTGCAAAACCCACTTACCATTGTATTTATACGTCAGTAAAATTAGGCTGCAAACCTGATTTGCCATCTCAACAAATAAGCCTTAGCCTCCTCCAAATTCCACAAAACACCAACCGTAAATTAGAGAGTTAAAAACAACCACATCTGGCTTAATTCTCTTCCCCTTCATTTCCAAAAACAATTCGTTTGCCTTAATACCAAACCATCTTTGCAAAGACCATATAATACTACCATAAGAAACAATATCAAGCTTACTGATAACACCCCCCACCATTACCAGCGACCATTTCTTTATGCAATCTAAGCGCAACGCTAGTGTTCCTGTCTGACACAACCCCTTAATCAATGTCCAATACGTAATCGCGTCAGGCCAACCCCAAACACCGCCATTTTCTTGAACAACTCCATAGCCTCCAAACTCCTATTCTCTAAACACAAACCTTTAATCAAAGAAGTGAAAGTCACAAAATTTGGTCTTAAACCCCGCCTCAAAATCCTCCCAAAAACAACAAAACCACAGGCTTACAACCCTTACTCTCTGTAGAGACTAGCAGCTCCTTTGCATCATTAGATCTATGCAGTAAGCAATAACCATCCATCAAAGTTGTATAAGTAACTATGTTTGGTTGCAAACCTCTTTGAATCATCAATTCTAACAATCCATTAGCTTCCTCCATCTTCCCTCCTGGCAAAGCCTACTTACATTGTAGTAAACGTCACCACATTAGGCTGCAAATCTCTTTGAATCATCAATTCTAACAATCCATTAGCTTCCTCCACTTCCCCTCCTTGCAAAGCCCACTATCATTGTAGTAAACGTCACCACATTAGGCTGCAAACCTCTTTGGATCATTGATTCCAAATACCCATTAGCTTCCTCCATCTTTCCCTCCTTGCAAAGCCACTTATCATTATTATACGTCACCACATTAGGTGAAAACCCTTTGAATCATTAATTCCAAATACCCATTAGCTTCTCCATCTTCCCCTCCTTGCAAAGCCCACTTATCATTGTATTATAAGTCATCACATCAGGCTGCAAACCTCTTTGAATCATCAATTCTAACCATCATTAGCTTCCTCCATTTTCCCCCTCTTGCAAAGCCCATTTATCATTGTAATAAACGTCACCAAATCAGGCTGCAAGCCTCTTGAATCATCAATTCACAATACACCATTAGCTTCCTCCATCTTCCCTCCCTGCAAAGCCCATTTATCATGTACTAAACGTCAACACATTAGGCTGAAAACCTTGTCCACATCTGTTCGTGTATCAAGTGCAATAGTGGTATTACCTGTTCTACACAACCCGTTAATCAAGGGCCCATATGTAATCACGTTAGGCCTAACCCCAAACACAACCATTTTCTTCAGAAACTCCACAGCCTCATACTCCTATTTTCCAAACACAACCTTTAATCAAAGAAGTCAAAGTCAGAACATCAGGGCTAGAACCCGCCCTCAAAATCCTCCCCAAAACAACAAAACCATCACAAACTCGACCCACATTACAAAAGCAATTAATCAAAATATTCAAAGTATAAAGATCTGGCAACAACCCCATCGAACCCACTCGCTTGTAAAGCAAAATAACATCTTCATAAAACTTTTTCTTAGCCAGTGCTCCAAACAACCGGTTGAATGATGAAATTGGTGGTTTGGGTTGCATATGAATCATGTATCCAAAGAAATAACGTGCTTCATCAAGAGTGACATTACCTTCTTTACAATCATTTTGGAGGAATTTCTCAAGCTGGGTTACTTTAAGTTCTAAACGTTGTGGAATAGTTGTAGTCACTTTACCTGGTTCTGTGAATGAAGAAGGAGAAGAAGAAAAACGACGAATCAAGCTTTTGAGCACCATTTCAGTAGCGCCGTTTGTGCCTTGTTGGATTATCTGGGGTTCAAACTTCAAACTGGCTTAGTCTTTTAAGGTAGGGTTTGCTAAACATTCATCTTTCCTCTTTATATATTTTTTACTTACTTTTTTTTATCTTAATTAAAATTGATAGAAAAATTCAAAAAGAGTAACTTAATTTTTCTCCTTGTCACTATTCCTTTCTTTTTCATTTGTTTACATTTTGTCACTAACTAATGTCTATTTCTAATTAGATAAAGAGTAAACGACATATTCCCACCCAAGGTTTGACGAAATCCTAAGTTAGTACTATTGGTTCCATTTATTCCAGATTCCCACCCTTAAAGCAAAAGTATTATAAATTTTTAGGGTTTAGAGGGTGCAATTACAATAATGCCCTTAACTTTAAATTAATAAATTAGTTTTAACCCCTAAATTAGTAGAATTACAAAACTTACCATTTTATTTTTAAATTATATCAAAAACACCCTGGGTCACTATACACCCTCGTCGGTCACCTCCATCACGTTCCCCGTAGTTCGTCGTCCAAAACCCCTCTGGTTCCTGACTCATTTGCCCCTCCAATCGCCGACATCGTTAGGCTTAGTGTTTCGGTGTTCTTCACCGGATTTCGGTTGATTCTGGCGGTGAAATTCCAATTGGACACCACCAGTGCAACCACCGTCTCCAAATATATAAAACCCCTATGTCCCCAGCAACTGTTTTGTCGTCATTCGCCAGTCAAAAGTTTGTGTTCATTGGCCGTTTTTCGTTGCCGTGGCTAGCAATCGGCGAGTGATGAGGGGTTGTAAATGGTATGGTTTTGTAGAGGGGAGGATGTGGGTTCAAATGGTGGCGACAAGGGTGATTTTGGGTGGAAGAATCGCCGGAAAAGAGCGAAAAATGTCGAAACGACTGCTGCTAATGTGCGTCGGAGGATTGTTAGAGGCGATGGTCTGCTAACGTGCGCCGCCTATGTAAAATGACCAATATACCCTTTTACCGTTACATCAAATGTTTTTTCGTCACTTTAAGGGTAGGAATCTGGAATAAATGGAACCAATGGTACCAACTTGGGATTTCGTCAAACCTTGGGTGGGAATATGTCGTTTACTCTTAGATAAATAAAACATAATGAATTCATATAGAAATGCCCATGTCCACACAGGTTTCGCCTCCACACCCAACATGCACATGTACAAATAGTTTTTATAGTCAAAGAATATATTTCATACCTAGTTAGTAAATACGGGTATGGCAAAAAAAGGGTATGGGAATTATACGGGTATAATACGGTAAACGGTGAAAAATAAGTTTATAAAAATTCGGTCATAAAATTCAGATACGGGAAAAATATAGTATGGGTATATACGGGTTTAAAACGGTGCATTGTCAATAATACGTTTTGAAAAATACTTCAATATTAATCTTAGTTTTAACACTTTTATGGACTACCTGGTTAAAATCAACATAACATTTCAAATGCAAAGTATTCAATTAACCAATAACACAAATACATAATACATAACTGATATTTAAATTATAGTCTCCAGACTCAAACACAATATTTAGCCAAGATTCAACTATAGTATCAAATTAAACACATAAGTCATAACAAAATCAAAATTCAAAGTCGAATAAGAGCTCCAAACAAATAAAATACACAAATAATACAACAAAGATTCAAATTATAGTTTGTAACAAAAACTCACAAAGTACATAAACAACAATAAGTCAATAACAACTCAAAAAAGAGCATCGTCCAACCAAGCAATGTCATCATTATCCATTAAGTCATCCATGTAACCCTCAACTGTTGGTGTGGAATTAGCATCTTCGTCCATATGAATTTCTTCATATTCATAGTCTGGAAGCTCTCCCAATTTCTCAAGATCTATAGGTTCCAAGTCACGACTCATCGTGGAAGTGAATTTATCCATCATCATCGTGTTCATCCTCACATACACAAGTGTGTCTAGCATTTCATGTGACAACCTATTCCTTTTTTTTGTTTGAGCAGCTTCAAAGGCACTCCAATTTCTCTCACATGATGAAGCGCTACAAGGTTGACTCAGAATTCGAATGGCATACTTCTTGAGCACAGGAAGATCATCCCCATTGTAATCCCACCATATTCCTGCAAATGACATAAAAAACTTTCTTGAATATAAAGAGAAAAGCAATGTACATAAAAGATATTGAAATTTTTTAAAACACTTACGAGGATGACTTGTTTGTAACATCGTTTTTGCCGTTGCAGTAAATAAGGTAGCTGGCCTACTACGATACAACTGAACCTCTCTCATAAATGGATGCTTTTCTTCTATTAGAAGCAGGTTTTCATGAATGAAATTGATGCCATCTTTCATCTCCCTATCCTCTCTAAAATTTTGTGAGCAAAAGTAAGCTGGATTGAGAAAGGCAGCTGCAGCATGTATAGGATGAATGATGTTGTTGACCCGACGATTCTCAAACAATTCCCAAATTCTCTCATACTTGCTTGCCTCACTATTACATCTTTCTTTGATTGCAACTTTTGCCCTCGTCATTGCTTCATATAAGTAACCAGCAGTAGATCCATCACCATCAACCAAACGAAGAACTCGAACCAATGGCTCAATGGTTTTTATAACCTCCCTTCCTCTAGCCCAAAAATCACTCTGAACAATTTCAGTGACCCTTTTACCTGATTCGGTCTTACAATAATCAAAACCCCTCCATTCAGATGAAGCAACAAAGAGTCGAAGTTCATTCTCCAAATCCAACACAGATTGAAGCATTAAAAAATTTGAAGCAAATCTTATGGCACAAGGTTATCTCAATTGTCTATCTTTGGTGAACTCTTTCATTGCTGCATGAAGAACTGTGTACCGTGTCATGAACATAACTATTATTCTTGCTTCATCTGTGGCAACTTTTACCTAATTAACTTCTTCATATATGTCTTTCAAAAGATGCTGAATTCCATGAGCAGCACACCTCGTCTTATACATTCGAGGATACAATCCAATGAGCATGTCACCAGCAGATGTGAAATTACTACCATTATCAGTTATGAATTGCACAACATGTTCTTGTCCAATTGATTCAATCACAGAAACAACAATTTCTTTCAGATAAATCCTAGCTTTTCTTTCTCGAGAAACATCCAATGATTTTATAAACACTGCACCACTAGGTGAATATGCCACAAGATTAATGAAAGATCAGTGCCTTATATCAGTCCATATATCAGACATTATAGTGCAACCAAATCCAGATCTATTCCAAGAATGCTTCACCATAGCAACATACTCATCAACACCTTTTCTAGATTCTAGAATTAACTTAGTTCGAAGAGTTGAATAAGATGGAAGCTTGTATGCTGCACCATATTCAGTCACTGCCTTGACAAATTCTCCAAAAGCACCAGTTTGAACAACATTAAAAGCAATATTGTTCACCAAAAACACTTAGCAAGCATTTTATCAACAAACTCCTTGTCTTTTTTCTTATTCATTTCTAGTAAAGATGCTTGACTTTGACATCTTTGGCTACCCTTAGAAAGTGGTGAAAATGGTGAATCTGTTTCCTCCTCATGATCATTAGAGTTTAAAGCAGTAGAAGAACCAGCTGAACTTTTTAATTTTTTGTTACTTCCACTTCCAAACATAGCTAAGAATGCACATGCTTGTGTCTCATGATTAACTTTACTACAAATCTCAACATCATAGCCAGTAATTCCAGACAACTGTGCTTTAATTCTGAAAGCCCCACCACTAAATACTTTTTTACCTACATTTCCATTTGTTCCCTTGGAGCTCCTCAACATGCTCCCAAATTTTATCTTTTTTTCGTACCATATTGATTTGTGTCTGTATTTACAAGAGCATAAAAGAGAACATCATCAAATACAAAAGAAAAAAAGTTAGCATATAATCTTTTTTCTTTCCTAAGCATGATAGCATATAATCTTATTGTGGAAAATAACAAAATTACGGAAAAAGTTAAGCATATAGTCCTCCTCTACTCATCCCTTGGTTTATTAGAAACTTTATAATTTCTTTGCCCTCTCGACATGTTTAGGTGGAAGGAGAAAATTCAAAAAAGTTTCGATTTTCTCTTTGAAATATGATCTTATAGTCCATTGTGAATATTTATGATGGCATTAGTTTCTTCAATGAGTTTCGTGTTTTTGTTACTCTTAACTGTTCTTATAAACTAGTTTACAGTGTGGAGATAACATTATTCTTCGTATGAACTATTTAATTACAGTTTAATAGCCAAGTAGTCCAAATGTCTCATCATATCTAGTTTAATAGCCAAGTCTAGAATCAAGGCCCTTATGTCATAGTAAGTCAAGCAATACTTTCTCAAAGCAGCAGCAGTATCATCATCCAAAACTTGTAACTTCAAATTAATATTATTCATAAAACGCAAACTTTCATGCAACAAATGAGCAGTACCAACACCATTCTGATCCCTCACTGTAATTAAATAATTCTAAACTTGGCTATTAAACAGATATGATGAGATAACTTCATCTGATTGCGTTATCTATTATATTATAAGATGTAGGAAAGGAAACAGATGAATACTTGATCTTAAAACAAATTGGGACAAAACCACGTAATATAATATAATAGCTAAACCAAGAGAGTAGAATTCTGATAACAAGAGAAACTAAAACAAATTTCCAGTAATGTACAAAAGCAAGTATCTTTGTCTTCCAAGCGAGAGAGAACCTATTAATTACACAAAAAGGAGCCTCCAAAGCCAAAAAAAATTCAAGGCTCTAGCTTCTCGGCCCCCCAAAAAGCTAACCAAAAATTGTATACAACTAACAAGCCTATACCAGCACCAACCAACAAAAATCTGCACCAAAAATTACAGCCCCGTAAAAACTAAGAGCAAAGAGAGAACCGAGGACAGCAGCGCTTTTTAAGCCAACCACACAGACCAACCAGCGGGGCAAAAGCAAAACTGCAGTCGCAAAAGCTGCTGAATTTTCTGGGGCATTTTCCAGAGAATTCGACGAGAACAAGAAATCCAAATAAAGTTCATTCCCTTCCCAACTAAGATCCGACAGAAGCCAAAAAAGCAAATAGACCAAATCACTCCAGCAACCCATTTAGCTACATCTTCACGCCCTCTAAAGAAGCCACTATCCATCACAATCCCCTCAAGCCATTCGTGCAACCAGACACAATCAAGCTAGAGTCCTCACGACCAACCACAGTAACAAATACAAATATAACTCTTGGTCTCTCACAAGCATTTCATCAAATATGTTTCAAACAAATCCATCAATCCACTAGCCCCTCCTATTGCTAGTCTACTACCACTCACAAGTCACAACACAAGTCACACAAACACAAACACAAGCAATCAACCAATAACATTCAAAGAGAAGAGAACAAGTATTAAGTGTGTACCTTGAAGTCTCGAACTTGAAGTTGAAGCCTGGAAGAAGAGAACAAGAGATGAAGAAAGCTGAAAACGTGAAGAACTGAGGAAGAAAAACTGAAGAAGACCTGAGGAAGAAGAAGAACCGAACTGAGGAACAAGAACTGTTGACTGCCGAAGAACGGAAGAAGAACGACTGAACGAGATCTGTTTTAATTTTTTTGTAAAAACCCAACAAAACGGCGTCGTTTTGGGGTTGTGGGATTTTTTTTTTTTTTTCAAAAATTCGCAAATAATTCGCGAATTATACAGGAAACCTTATTATACGCGAATTATACGACAGATTTTACAAAATACATATACGAGTGTTTTATACGCGAATTATATGACTGTCCATACAATTCGAGTATAATACGCGTTTTTACTAACTAGGGTTTCATACTCCATCCCTTGCCACCCTTTGATATAGATGATAAGTTAGGCCAATTTCTCCTTTAGCGTCAGTGATGAGAAGCGTCTAAATGTAAGGTCTTGTCAATATGTCTTCTTTTCATCTCCATCTTTAACCTGTCCACATTTGATTTTCACACATATTTATTTCTACGTGTGTCCATGATTATAAGGCACATTGTGTGCAGAACTCATGATCACAACCTTTATTATAGTATTATGTATCATTGTCTCTCGGCCACGGAAGGATTTGACCTCGAAACAGAAAAAATAAACAATCCTAATATACAAAGGGATCAGAGATAACAACTTCTGAATTCAATTGTCAGATAACGGAGATTGAAAAACAGGTCAAAGATAACATCATGAATGTTGAAAATAATACATGCAACTAGACAGTTAAAACCTTCTCTTTTCCTTTTTCTTCGGAGTTGATCATTGTAATTTTGATCAACCATATCTATGTTGCATTAAAATTTCCATCAGATTTACACAAATCTAATCTGAACCACCACCAGCGTCGCCAATTCTAATGTTACCACTGATTAGAGCCATCAATAATATCAATGCCATCACCAAAAACCAGAACTGCTAATTAAATAACTCACCACTACAACCAATATACTTCCTTTGACAAAACCAAAACAACACACACCACCATTATCGTGTTCTAGTTATTTGACTTCCACAACACGAGCAGTTAATTCACTTCCATCACTCACTACCACGTTATCGAAATCCAAACTTTTGTGCTTGCATTTGTGCATATGAGAGACCCAAAACCACTTTATTCTCCCCAACTCTTTCATCAGCTGAGAATGACTGGATGCCCAGTTTGCAGAATTCTATTTATTATATCCATCCCGAAAGCAGAATCTAATGAACTGTCAAGGAGTAATTTCTAAGAAGACAAAGGCAACATATGCGTCAACAACAATTTATCTTCCTACCTCAATTCAACTAGGAGATCAGATTATTTGGTTGATGGCATGAATAAAGAAAAGCAGTAAAACAGATCACTATCATTTGCATTATACACTATATTCGTTCATTTGCCTTTTTTCTTAAAAAAAATACATAAAATTTCGGCTAACTTATTACTATGGTTGGGGAAAGAGTCTGCATCTAATAAGAAGGTTGTGAATTAATATTTCTTAATCATATGCAACCAATCAACTGTGTTCAGAGTTCAGACTTACTAGTTATATGCAAATAGCGAAAAGCCAATTATAAGAAAAGAAGATAACAAAATTAAACCAAGGAAGATGCATATATATTGACAGATGATCTAGGATTACCATTTACTAAGAGTTTAAATATAAACAGTACGTCAAATATGCTTACATGCAGCTTCTAATAACAAATCATATACCTTTTGTAACTTCACTTCTTCACAAAACCCATAGATGAAGATGGAATATGTCACAACGTCTCCAAAGCAATTTAGATCATTCCATTTTTACACAACCCATCAATGAGGCTGGCAATTTTAAACTAGTAGTTCTCCAAGTAAAAAACAATTTTGCTACCTCCAGAAAACCATTCTTACATATCCCATCAATAAAAATATTATATGTAACCGAATCAGGTGCGAAACTATAAAGTTTCATTTCATCAAATAGTTTCCGTGCATCTCCAACTTTATTTGATAGAAAAAGACTGGTTAACAAAGTGTCATATGTAAACACTCTTTGTTTAATTCCCTTTGAAATCATTCCCTTGTAAAGACTGATAGCATTCTCTAATTTCCAAACCTCTTTGAATAATCAATTCCAACAACCAATTAGCCTCCTCTATCTTCCCCTCCTTGCAAAACCCACTTACAATTGTATTATATGTCAGTAAATTAGGCTGCAAACCTTGATCTGCCATCTCAACAAACAAGCCTTTAGCCTCCTCCATATTTTCGACTAAACACCAACCGTAAATTAGAGCGTTAAAGACAATCACATTTGGCTTAATTCCTCTGCGCTTCATTTCAAAAAACAATTCTTTCGCCTTATCTACCAGCCCATCTTTGCAAAGACCACTGATAATACTACCATAACAAACAATACTAGGCTTAAAAATAACACCTCCTTCCCCATTACCAGCAACCATTTCTTGATGCAATCTAAGCGCAACGCCCGTGTTCCTTGTCCGACACAACCCGTTAATCAAAGTCCCATATGTAATCACGTTAGGCCTGACCCCAAACACAGCCATTTTCTTGAATAACTCCATAGCCTCCAAACTCCGATTCTCTAAACACAAACCTTTAATCAAAGAAGTGAAAGTCACAGCATTTGGTCTAAAAGCCCGCCTCAAAATCCTCCCCAAAACAACAAAAAACAGCTCCTTTGCATCATTTAATCTATGCAGCAAGCAATAACCATCCATCAAAGTGTTATAAGTAACTATGTTTGGTTGCAAACCTCTTAGACTCATAATTTCCAACAATCCATTAGCTTCCTCCATCTTCCCCTCCTTGCAAAGCCCATTTATCATTGTACTAAACGTCACCACATCAGGCTGCAAACCTCTTTGAATCATCAATTCTAACAATCCATTAGCTTCCTCCATCTTCCCCTCCTTGCAAAGCCCACTTCTCATTGTAGTAAACGTCACCACATTAGGCTGCAAACCTCTTTGGATCATTAATTCCAAATACCCATTAGCTTCTTCCATCTTCCCCTCCTTGCAAAACCCACTTATCATTGTATTATACGTCACCACATCAGGCTGCAAACCTTGATCTGCCATCTCAATAAACAAACTCTCAGCCTCGTCCAAATTTCCCACAAAACACCAACCACAAATTAGAGAGTTATAAACAACCACATTTGGCTTAATTCCCTTACCCTTCATTTCCAAAAAATATTCTTTTGCCTTATCTACCAACCCATCTTTACAGAGACCGTCGATAATACTACCATAACAAATAATACTAGGTTTGCAAATAAAACCTCCTTCTCCATTACCAGCGACCATTTCTTCATGCAATCTAAGCGCAACACTCGTGTTCCTTGTACGACACAACCCGTTAATCAAAGTCCCATAAGTAATCACGTTAGGCCTAACCCCAAACACGGCCATTTTCTTGAACAACTCCATAGCCTCCAAACTCCTATTCTTCGAACACAAACCTTTAATCAAAGAATTCAAAGTCACATCATCTGGGTTAAAACCCCGCGTCAAAATCCTCCCGAAAACAACAAAACCGTCACAAACTCGACCCACATTACAAAAGCAATTAATCAAAATATTCAAAGTAAAAAGATCTGGCAACAACCCCATTGAATCCACTCGCTTGTAAAGCAAAATAACATCTTCATAAAACTTTTTCTTAGCCAGTGCTCCAAACAACCGGTTGAACGATGAAATCGGTGGTTTGGGTTGCATATGAATCATGTATCCAAAGAAATGTCGTGCTTCATCAAGAGTGATATTACCTTCTTTACAATTATTTTGGAGGAATTTCTCAAGCTGGGTTACTTTAAGTACTAAATCTTGTGGTATGGTTGTAATCAATTTACCTGGTTTTGTGAATGAAGAAGGAGAAGAAGAAAAACGACGAATCAAGCTTTTGAGCACCATTTCAGTAGTGCCGTTTGTGCCTTGTGGATTATCTGGGGTTCAGACTGGCTTAGAGTTTTAAGGTGGCGCTTGCTAAGGAGGAAATTTAGCTGTCCGGCAATCCCAAGTTTCCATTTAACAAAATGATTACGAAAATCTTTTTGGGTGCATTTGGCTCCCTATTTTTATAGATATTCCCAATCCTATTCTCCAAATAATGTTTGGCACACTATTCCAGAAATATTACCCTATTTTTTTAATTATTTTTAGACCCCATAAGATTATTAATTTTACTAAATGCCCCTAAATTTTTTTTAAAAAAATTAACAAAAACCCCCCCATCAACCCAACTTGTCAGATTCCGGCAACCACCGCCTGTGATAGCCGGAATCTGTACAACGGCCTAAATTCCGACCATAAATGGCCAGAATTACACCGATCTGGCCATCGCAAAGAAATGGCCGTCGTTGATGGTCAACGACGGCCAAATCTTGGCCGTTGTTGACCGAAAACGACGGCCACATCTTTGGCCATCGCTGACGGCCAAAGATGGCCGTCGTTTTGGCCTTTCCGGCCGTCGACGGCCATAACAGGCCGTAGATCTGGCCGGAAAAGGCCATAATGATGCGTTACAGCACAGATCCGATCGGTCTGTGCCGTAACGAAATTTTCCGGCCAGATTTCGGCGGTGGCGGTCGGAATCTGACATTGCAGGTGGTGGGGGTGTTTTTGTCATTTTATATAGTAGGGTCTTTAATTAAATTAGTAAACCTAAGGGCTTTTTCATAAATTTTTCAAATTTATCTCGTAATACTCTCCTATCCAACAATCCAATACTATCCTCAAAATTCTATCCAAAATACTACACCAAACGCACCCTTTGATTTTTTTTTGGGTTAAAAAATATGACGTGACATACTTAAGTGTAATTAAAGCAGCAAACAGAATTTGGGTGAAAAGATTTAAAAATTTGTGGGTTAGAATATAATAAAGAGAAGTTGATTTAAAATTTGAAAGGCACAACACATCTCTCAAATTCTTTCTCTCCCTTGTTTTTTTCTTCCAATTTTCTGCAATTTCTCAATTTCTTTGCTCTTTGCATTTTTTTCATTTCTTGCCATTCCTGATTAAGTTATAGTGGCTGAGTCCTTAAAGAAACAGAAAAAAAACCCATATACTCCCCAAATTGTAGGCACGATTAGGTCTACCAAAAATGGAGAAGAAGAAGTTGTGGTGGAGTAACTTCCGATGACTGAAGTTGCTCCACTAGGAGAGGAGACGGCGTCGACGGAAGACATTCTATTGGCGAAACAAGGGAGGGCAAGAGTTGAAATTGAAATTGAAGAGGAGGATGCCGACGCAAATTCCAAGCGTCGGACATGATCGCTTAAGCGATCGTGCATCTGGGCAGAAGTTGATTTTGCCTCGGACATGATCGTTTAAGCGATTATAAATCGCTTAAAGCGACCAACGTTAAAAGCAAAGGATCGCTTAAGCGATCATGCGTCTGGGCATTTATTTATTGTCTTGTTCATGATCGCTTAAGCGATCGTAGATCGCTTAAGCGACCAATAATAAAAGCGAAAAATCGCTTAAGTGATCCTACGTCTGGGCACTTATTTATTGTCTTGTTCATAATCGCTTAAGCGACCAATAGTAAAAGTGAAGAATCGCTTAAGCGATACACTTAATCGCTTAAGCGACCAATAGTAAAAGCGAAGAATCACTTAAGTGATACACTTAATCGCTTAAGCGATTGTGCATCTAGGCAGAAGTTTATTCTGCCTCGGACATGATCGCTTAAGCGACCAAGATTAAAAGCAAAGGATCGCTTAAGCAATAGAATAAATTGCTTAAGCGATCGTGCGTCTGGGCACTTATTGATTCTGTCTTGTTCGTGATCGCTTAAGTGACCAAGTGTAAAAGCATAGAATCGCTTAAGCGATAACATAAATACAACCAGATCTCTTAAGCTACTAAGTCTATATACATAGGATCGCTTAAGCGAGAAATGAAATCTCTTAAGCGATCCAGTGTATTTGGATTATTTTTATTGTATTTCATTAGATTGGTTAAGCGATTAACACTATCTTAGACATATAAGGTGTACGATTCATTCAGTGGATCATGACCATTATTATATTTTAATTAAATTAGTTCTTTTACGGCTATATTAAACATTTATGGTATATAATATTTACATCTATATTAAACATATCAGGTATAAAATTCAATTAGTTCTTTTAACGACTATATTAACCCTATGGTATAGATGTTACGTCTATATTAAACATATCTTAGACATATAAGGTGTACGATTCATTCAGTGGATCATGACCATATTATATTTTATTATTAGTTCTTTACGGCTATATTAAACATTTATGGTATATAATATTTACATCTATATTAAACATATCAGGTATAAATTCAATTAGTTCTTTACGACTATATTAAACACATTGGTATAGATGTTTACTTCATATTAAATATATCAAGTGTACGATTCATTCAGTGGATCATGACTGATACTATTTTAATTAAATTAGTTCTTTTACGCTATTAAACATATATGGTGTAAAATGTTTATATCTTATTATATAATCAAGTGTACGATTCATTAAATGGACCATAACCGATATATATTTTAATTAAATTAGTTCTTTTACAGTATATTACATATATGGTGTAGAATGTTACGTCTATATTAAACATATCATGTGTACGATTCGTTCAGTGGACCATGACCGTTTATATTTTTTAATTAATTAGTTCTTTTATGGCTATGTTAAACATATATGGTTAATGTTTATATCTATATTAAACATACCAGGTACGGTTTGTTCAATAACTATGACGTTATTATTTTAATTAAATTAGTTCTTTTAACGACTATTTAACACATATGTATAGAATGTTTACGTCTATATTAACATATCAGGTGTACTTTCGTTCAGTGGACCATGACCATTATTATATTTTAATTAATTAGTTCTTTTACGGCTATGTTAAACATATATGGTGTAGAATGTTTATATCTATATTAAACATCAGGTGTACGATTTCTTCAATAGACTATGACCGTTATTATTTTTAATTAAATTAGTTCTTTTACGGCTATATTAAACACATATGGTGTAGAATGTTTACGTCTATATTAAACATATCAGGTGTACAATTCGTTCAGTGGACCATGACCGTTATTAATTTAATTAAATTAGTTCTTTTACGGCTATTTAAACATATATGGTGTAGAATGTTTACGTCTATATTAAATATATCAAATGTACATTCTTCAGTGGATCATGACCGATATTATATTTTTAAATTAGTTCTTTTACGGCTATATTAAACATATATGGTGTAGAATGTTTATGTCTATATTAAATATTTCAGGTACGATTCATTCAGTGGACTATAATCGATATTATTTTTAATTAAATTAGTTCTTTTAAGCCTATATTAACCATATATGGTGTAGAGTGTTTACGTCTTATTAAACATATCAGATGTACAATTCGTCAGTAAACCATGATCGTTTATTATATCTTAATTAAATTAGTTCTTTCCCACTATAAACATATATGGTATAAATGTTTATGTCTATATTAACATATCAGGTGTACGATTCGTCTAGTGGACTATGTCGTTTATTATTTTGATTAAATTAATTCTTTTACGGCTATATCAAACATATAGATTGAGAATGTTTACTTCTATATTAAACATATCAGGTGTACGGTTTATTAGTGGATCATGACCGTTATTATATTTTAATTAATTAGTTCTTTACGGCTATATTAAACATATATAGTGTAGAATGTTTACGTCTATATTAAACATATCAGGTGTACAGTTGTTTTCAGTGGACCCTAAACCGTTATTATATTTTAATTAATTAGTCATTTTACGTCTATATTAAACATATGTCCACAACATAAAAAATAAAAATTAAGTAAATTACCCTTAATCGCTTAAGCGATCTTGTCTATTTAGCCTTGGTCTACAGAGTGCAGAGCAGATGGTTACAGAGTTCAATTTATATCATATTATATTTTTTTTTTATTACTTTCTTGTCAAGAACTAACAAAATAATAGAATACAATAGATTTTTCAGTTTTATGTATGGTGCTGATTGACAAAGATCGAAGTGTTCTTTTCACATTCTATTGAAATGAAAAAATAATTAATAATTAATAAAAAAGTACTAAATATTAAATAACATTATGGAATATAATTTCTTACCGAAGTATATTGCTTACTGCATCGCTTAAGCGCCATATATCCTTAACGATCTAGTAGAAATAGCCTGATTGCTTAAGCCATCTACTGCCATATATCTGATCGCTTAAGCGATCTGCACCATATACCAACTTATACCAGATCGCTTAAGCGATCTTCTGTCATATACCAGTCGCTTAAGCGATCTGATACCATATACAAAACTTATACCAGATCGCTTAAGTGATCTTCTGTCATATACTAGATCGCTTAAGTGATCCATCAGATCAAACAAACATTTTCAGCACTCCACCTACAATCGTCCATCATACCCAAAACAATTTTCAACAAATTTCACTCCTTTCAACTTGCATTACATCAAACACAACCCAACAACCTAACAACTAAATCAAAATCAAACCCAAACTCCATCCATTATTAAATCTTGTAAATCTAAATATAAATGTAAAGAGAGATACAATCCTTACCAAAATGTTAGGAGGAGAGGAGAGGGGATCTTTGGCGGAGAAGATGTTAATTTGGAGAAGAAGAAAATGTTAATGGCGGAGGAACAAGATATATAGAGGAATGAGGAAGAAGAGATGTAGAGGAAGAGGAAGAGAAGATGTAGACGAAGCTAAGAGAAACAGCAACCAAGGTGGAGATGCGTTAATGGCGGGAGGAAGAAGAAGTTTGGGTTTGTTTGCAAGAATTTCGGGTTTTGGGATTTGCAAGAATTTCGGGTTTTTGGGAATATATTATAATTTTTAAAAGATTACATCCTTTATTAATCCTAATTAAGCACTAATCAAGTTTAATTACCCTTAATCATAATTGGCTATTTAGTAAAATTTTAAAACTTGATAGCCTTTTAATTAAATTCAAACTTGAAGGTTGTTTTAATAAACTACCCCCTTGCTAAGCATTCACCTTTCGTCTTTATATTTTTTATTTACAATTTCTCTTAATTACAATTGAAAATGGTGGCTTAATATAAAATTGGTGGGGGCTATTTAGCGTCACTCTTTGATGAACACTACTTTAAATACCATATGATCGAATCGGACACAAGGCAGAGATCTATACTGTATATCGCAATATTTTTTGTCATTTTAGCCTAGCCTAGCTCTTTTGGACGACTACAATCCGTCCAAGAAATATGCAGCATTTGGTTCCATTGCGATTAATATTACTTGCACTCATAACTAGAAGAGAATATGAGTTGATTTGGTGTTGATATTTGCATCTGTTAAAGGTGTCTTCAAACTTTATAGAGGTCCACCACCATTGGATGATCGTGTGGTTAACTAAATTTTTGATATATTTTTAAGAGGTCCTGATTCATTCCATCTGTGTGTTAATAGGGGTGGTTATTGGAGGGATTTAACTAGTTGTCAACTTCAGGACCTTGGAGGATTAGTTGGTGCGCACAGCTGACCGGACATCTTTGGTAAAAAAAAAAAAAAAAAATTATTAGTCTTACACTAGTTGGATGCATTCTCGTTTCATATCTGGATGGATTTTGGGATATCTTTCATTAAAATGAGCATCATTTGTTAATCTTATTTTTCCTCACTTTGATAACTAAGATAGTCACATAATTACTTTTACTGTTTCTAAGTTTAAATTGTATTATATAGTTTTTATATATTCCAAAAAGAATATAAGTGTATCTGTATGGATCTAAGAGAAATAATTTTACTTTGCCACATTCTTAAGTGAGGATAATGTTTTAGCATGTCTATCAGTTCGAGACTCTCTTCACGATTTCTTGTTTTTTTTTGTGGTTTCATTACATGTATTTAGGGTTTGCATATTAAGACCATATTCCCTTTGCAACATTGTAGATTTGAACATGGTCATTGCTTCACCTATGCTGCCACCACCTTGAGAGAACTCAATACACTTGCAACAAAGATGACGAAGCATCTGAATTTTGCAACTTGCTTTATGTCAACAACGGTAACAAGAATCATTCTATTGTTCCTCATTAGCTGGCCGACTTTCATTTGTAGACAACTACTTGCATCAAACTGCTATGTTTTCTCTATTGAGTTCTTCAAACATTTTGATACTATATAGTAGACACCGATGGAAGCACATAAAACTTACGAAGTATTTAGTTGATAGAAGGAAAAAAAAGATACCAAGCTTAAATGGAACTAACCCGCGATAAGAAACACACTTTATTCACATATATAATACTTTTACTTTATCAGTGAATTTGTGGTTGCAGGAGTAGATTTGTTAGACTTAGGCCTATGTCAACAACGGGAACAAGGATCATTCTATTGTTCCTTCATTATGCTGGCCGACCTTTCGATTGTAAGACAACTACTTGCATCAAACATCTATTTTTCTCTCCATTGAGTTCTTCAAACATTTTGATACTATATTAGACACCGATGGAAGCACCATAAACTTACGAAGTAATTTAGGTTGATAGAAAGAAAAAAAGATCACCAAGCTTAAATGGAACAACCCCCGATAAGAAACACACTTTATTCACGATATATAATACTTCTGACTTTATCAATGAATTGTGGTTGCAGGAGCAGATTTTTCAGACTTAGGCCATGGAACTATAGAGATATCCAACTAGCATTTGCTAGAAGTCACTAAGTTTACAAACTCAAGTCAAAATTGCATTGATAGCAACAAGAATTGGTTGCTTTGCACTCCTTTCATATCATAGTAAGTTGAACAATCTTTCAAGATTATTGTGCATTAATAAGTAGAACACAACATCATTATTTACACTTTGTGAGGCTCTTCGGTCTGTCTTCAACTGTTGAGCAAACTTTTTGGTATGCCATTGGAATCAAGTTAAATATATCACTTGGATTCCATTGTTTTAAAACCCAAACTGGAGGACAATCCGATCTGCTGCCCGAGTCACGGGTCGGTTGGTCAAACTGGTTGGATTGATGACATCATCATACTGACATCAGCATGATGACGTCTACACTTCCAAAAAAATCCAGATTTTTCATTTTTGAACAATTTTCAAATTTTCAATAACAGCTTAATTACAGCACCAACATAATTCAAACTCAATAACAATCTAAACATGATTTAACAACAATCCCAACATACAATATAATATGTTATAGCTCCAACCAAAATTTATAATTGACAAAAACTTTTGTAGATTACAACATGCTTGAAATGCGGAATTAGAATGCTATTCCAAAAGGCACCTTAACTTTTAATTTAAGCATTGTATCTCTTTATTCTCAGGTTTGGGCAAATCTGGGTTATTCAACTAGAGGGAGAAAACACAAATAATCTGAGTACCTTCAAAGTATCTTCTAGATTCGAGTAAAATAATTCTGTAACTTCTAATCAAATAATCGAAACAAAACTTTCAAATTTGGAGGATTCTACCAACAAAAGAAAAAATCAACTTCCAATCAAATAAACCCAATGTTTTAAAACCTGGCTCGGCCCGGCCGGTTGAACCGGGACTCGGAAGCTTCAACGGGCCGGCTTTAATTTTTTCCTATTCACCCAATACCCTAGAATTTCCGGTGATGATCGGCAAACAATTAACTGTCGGAATGTTGGGGCTTTTGAAGAGCTATTTCCTATGAATGTAATGGTGGTGAAAGTTTGATTTCCGGTGAGTAAATCGACCGGAAATCGAACAAAACTGGCAGCGGCAACGATGAGATTTTTCCGGCGATTGACGAGGCTAACGGGGGTGGGGTGGGTGGGTTTTGGTCAGGAGGAAAATGGGAGTAATTCTGAGGTGCTGGGAAGGGTTGTTGTTGCCGGAATCGATGGGATCTGGCCTGGAATGCCGACGTCAACGTCGATGAGTTCTGGCCGAAATCAAACCTATTTCGGCTAGATCTTAGGTATATTTTGATGGAAATGGGCTCAAGGGACGATTGGGGTTACATCTGGGGTGTTGCCGCTGCTAATCAGTCGTCGGTCGATTTGCAGTTGGGGGGTGTTTGATAAATTTCAAACCTATAAAGACTTAACTGTAATTTTTATGGGTATATTTACTGAATTTTAAAAGTTTTTGTCAACCGATTTGACCGTTGGTCAAACCGGTTAAACTAGTCAACCCGGAACCCAGAAGCTTTGTCGGTTTCACCCCGGGTTGGGTTTTAAAACATTGAATAAACCAAGTATTATAATCAAAACAAAACTTCCAATCAAATAATCAAAACAATACTTCCGAATGCAGAAAAAGATAATCAAATAAACCAGATGTGTCTTCAATTGTCGTCGTTGTTGATTTCCAGCGAGGGAGGGAGGTGTTGTCGTCATCGTCGAGCAAGGAGGGAGGCGACATCGTCGTTGTCGAGCAAGGAGGGAGGCATCGTCGTTGTTGACAAGCAAGGAGGGAGGCATTGTAGTCGAGCAAGGAGGGAGGCGTCATCATCGATTTCCAGCGAGGGAGGGAGGTGTCGTCAATTTTAGAGAGTGGAGTTGTGATTGAGACAATGGTTGCGATTTCAGACTTCAGAGAGTGAAGTTGATTGAGATTGAGGGGTGATTTCAGAGAGTTGTTGCGAATTTCGGAGAGTGGCTGCATAGAGAAACTGAAAAATGAATACATTTAGGGCTTTTTTTTTACTTGCGAAATAGTGAACCGGTTTATCAAACGGCCCGATTGGATCAGGCGATTTAAATTGTTCACCCGGTTTAATGGTAAGGTTAAAGCGGCTTTTCAAGTATAAATGGGCTTCATATTAACCCGGACCGGACACACAATCGGATCCTGGTTGAACAGGTTGGACCGGTCGGCCCGGTTCGAGTTTTAAAACAGAGTTCGATTCTTCTCATCGATTCATTGCTAGGATCCCTTGGGTTATATAACATTATACTGAAGAGTATGGCATGCAACATTTCAATCAAACCTGCTAAAGTATATAATCACCATTAAATATATCAGAAAACATTTCCTAAAAACTAAAGAGTATGGCACCCAACCGAGGCTAAGCTCGAGCTCGAATCAGCAGGTTGGATGCCCAGTCTGCAGCATTCTCTTTATTATAAGGCACATTGTGTGCAGAACTCATGATCACAACCTTTATTATAGTATTATGTATCATTGTCTCTCGGCCATGGAAGGATTTGACCTCGAAACAGAAAAAATAAACAATCCTAATATACCAAGGGATCAGAGATAACAACTTTTGAATTCAATTGTCAGATAACAGAGATTGAAAAACAGGTCAAAGATAACATCATGAATGTTGAAAATAATACATGTAACTAGACGGTTAAAACCTTCTCTTCTCCTTTTTCTTCAGAGTTGATCATCGTAATTTTGATCAACCATATCTATGTTGCATTAAAATTTCCATCAGATTTACACAAATCTAATCTGAACCACCACCAGCATCGCCAATTCTAATGTACCCACGATTAGAGCCATCAATAATATCACTGCCATCACCAAAAACAAGAACTGCTAATTAAATAACTCACCACTACAACCAATATACTGCCTTTGACAAAACCCAAACAACACACGCCACCATTATCGTGTTCTAGTTATTTTACTTCCACAACACTAGCAGTTAATTCACTTCCATCACTCACTACTACGTTATCGAAGTCCAAACTTTTGTGCTTGCATTTGTGCATATGAGAGACCAAAAACCAGTTTATTCTCCCCAACTCTTTCATCAGCTGAGAATGATTGGATGCCCAGTCTGCAGTGTTCTCTTTATTATATCCATTCCGAAAGCAGAATCCGATGAACTGTCAAGGAGTAATTTCTAATAAGACAAAGGCAACACATGCATCAACAACAATTTATCTTGCTACCTCAATTCAACGAGGAGATCGGATTATTTGGTTGATGGCATGAATAAAGAAAGCAGTAAAAAAGATCATTACCTTATACACTATATTCGTTCATTTGCCTTTTTTCTTAAAAAAAATACATAAAATTTCGGCTAACTTATTACTACGGTTGGGGAAAGGTTCCGCATCTAATAAGAAGGTTGTGAATTAATATTTCTTAATCATATGCAACCAATCAACTGTGTTCAGAGTTCAGACTTACTAGTTATATGCAAATAGCGAAAAGCCAATTATAAGAAAAGAAGATAATAAAATTAAACCAAACAATTTTGTAACCGAATCAGGTGCGACACTATAAAGTTTCATTTCATCAAATAGTTTCCGGGCATCTCCAACTTTATTTCATAGAAAAAGACTGGTTAACAAAGTGTCATATGTAAACACTGTTTGTTTAATTCCCTTTGAAATCATTCCCTTGTAAAGACTGATAGCATTCTCTAATTTCCAAGCCTCTATGAATAATCAATTCCAACAACCAATTAGCTTCTTCTATCTTCCCCTCCTTGCAAAACCCACTTACAATTGTATTATACGTCAGTAAATTAGGCTGAAAACCTTGATCTGCCATCTCAACAAACAAGCCTTTAGCCTCCTCCAAATTTCCCACAAAACACCAACCGTAAATTAGAGAGTTAAAAACAACCACATCTGGCTTAATTCTCTTCCCCTTCATTTCCAAAAAAAATTCTTTTGCCTTATCAACCAACCCATCTTTGCAAAGAACATCTATAATACTACCATAAGAAACAATATCGGGCTTACAGATAACAACCCCTTCACCATTAAAAGCAACCATTTCTTCATGCAATCTAAGCGCAACACTAGTGTTCCCTGTCCAACACAACCCCTTAATCAATGTCCAATACGTAATCGCGTCAGGCCTGACCCCAAACACAGCCATTTTCCTGAACAACTCCATAGCCTCCAAACTCCTATTCTCTAAACACAAACCTTTAATCAACGAAGTGAAAGTCACAACATTTGGTCTTAAACCCCGCCTCAAAATCATCCCAAAAACAACAAAACCATAAGGCTTACAACCCTTACTCTCCGTAGAGATTTGCAGCTCCTTTGCATCATTAGATCTATGCAGCAAACAATAACCATCCATCAAAGTTGTATAAGTAACTATGTTTGGTTGCAAACCTCTTTGAATCATTAATTCTAACAATCCATTAGCTTCCTCCATCTTCCCCTCCTTGCAAAGCCCACTTATCATTGTATTATACGTCACCACATTAGGCTGCAAACCTCTTTGAATCATTAATTCTAACAATCCATTAGCTTCCTCCATCTTCCCCTCATTGCAAAGCCCACTTATCATCGTAGTAAACGTCACCACGTTAGGCTGCAAACCTCTTTGAATCATTAATTCTAACAATCCATTAGCTTCCTCCATCTTCCCCTCCTTGCAAAGCCCACTTATCATTGTATTATACGTCACCACATTAGGCTGCAAACCTCTTTGAATCATCAATTCTAACAATCCATTAGCTTCCTCCATCTTCCCCTCCCTGCAAAGCCCATTTATCATTGTACTAAACGTCACCACATCAGGCTGCAAGCCTCTTTGAATCATCAATTCTAACAATCCATTAGCTTCCTCCATCTTCCCCTCCCTGCAAAGCCCATTTATCATTGTACTAAACGTCACCACATCAGGTTGCAAGCCTCTTTGAATCATCAATTCTAACAATCCATTAGCTTCCTCCATCTTCCCCTCCCTGCAAAGCCCACTTATCATTGTATTAAACGTCAGCACATTAGGCTGCAAACCTTGATCCACCATCTTTTCGTGTATCCTAAGCGCAATACTCGTTTTCCCTGTTCGACATAAACCGTTAATCAAAGTCCCATACGTTATCACGTTAGGCCTAACCCCAAACACAGCCATTTTCATGAACAACTCCACAGCCTCCATACTCCTATTCTCTAAACACAAACCTTTAATCAAAGAAGTCAAAGTCACAGCATTTGGGTTAAAACCCCGCTTCAAAATCCTCCCAAAAACAACAAAACCATCACAAACTCGACCCACATTACAAAAGCAATTGATCAAAATATTCAAAGTATAAAGATCGGGCAACAACCCCATCGAACCCACTCGCTTGTAAAGCAAAATAACATCTTCATAAAACTTTTTCTTAGCCAGTGCTCCAAGCAACTGGTTGAAAGATGAAATTGATGGTTTTGGTTGCAAATGAATCATGTATTCAAAGAAATATCGTGCTTCATCAAGAGTGACATTACCTTCTTTACAATCATTTTGGAGGAATTTCTCAAGCTGGGTTACTTTAAGTACTAAATCTTGTGGTATGGTTGTAGTAACTTTACCTGGTTTTGTGAATGAAGAAGGAGAAGAAGAAAAACGACGAATCAAGCTTTTGAGCACCATTTCAGTAGCGCCGTTTGTGCCTTGTGGATTATCTGGGGTTCAAACAAACTTCAAACTGGCTTAGTCTTTTTAAGGTAGGGTTTGCTAAACATTCATCTTTCCTCTTTATATATTTTTTATTTACTTTTTTATCTTGATAGAAAAATTCAATATGTTAAGCTTAATTTTTCTCTTTGTCACTATTCCTCTCTTTTTCATTGGGAGAACGACACGTTCCCACCCAAGGTTTCACAAAATGACACTTTCTTACCCACGTTTTGTTAGAAAATTCTATTACTATTTGACTGTAAAGACAAAATCACCATTCATTATTTGACTTAATAATTTTATTATTATTTTATGTCATGTCAGTAAAGTCAATTATCAACATACCCCTCTTTAAATATGAAATTACTAATATGCCCTTAACTATGTATCAAATTTGTCCCTCCAATTGTTTATTAAAAATAATGTTTTAAATCAATGAAAATCCATTAGATTTTTTAAATTACTAGTTTGTCCTTATATTTGCTACAATTAAACTGACATTTATATTTAAATTTTGTCAATTCAAACCCAAATAAAATAATATATATAAGAAATTTTATCAATTCAAACCCAATAAAAACAGGGAATTCAATACAAAGAAAACAACTTTTCCAGCTCCTCATTCATTTATTAAAATCCAAGTTTTGCTTTCACCCTCCCGCTTTCTAGCTCCTTGAAGTTTGCTTTTCCTTTGCTTTTTGGATCTTCAAAACCTTCTTCACAATCTTTTGCTCTTCCATCAAGAAACCTTGAGTTTGATGTATTATTTTCAACTAAAGTTACCATCTTCAGTACCTCTGCAACTGCCTTAGGAGGGTAATCTCCATTTAATTTTGCGTCAATGCATTGCTTCACCTTATCTTCACTGAATTTTTTAGTTGCCTGACACAATCCAGAACTGCATACAAAACAGCTTGATTGAGGCTTTCATCACACGCCAAATAAATGACTAGAAGCAATAAGCAAAATTCACCACCCACTTTCATCACATAACTTAAGCCAAAAAGCGCTATACGGAGTAGGTAAAATCTAATAGAGAATGTCATGAAAGATATATTCAACGTCTATGATAGACAGCCTCTGTGAACAAACCTCTAGAACCCAAATGGGAATTCCAACTTTACATAACCAAAGCAACCATAAGAATTATGTGACATAAAAAGCAATATATTACTCAACAATTTACCATAAGAATTATCCTTCGACGGTGAAGCACTTATCCCGGGAGCTGTATCCAAAAACCACAAAATCAACTCCATCGAAACCCAACCAAACAAACCTAAATGCACATAACTCAAAATAGGGAGAGAGAGAGAGCGTAACCTTGATGATTCGTCGGAGGAGATTAATGTTAGCCATTGATGAGATCTCAATTCAATTGTTGTAGAGAAAAAACGCTAATAGGTTTTTTTTCTTACGACTTCTTTTCTAATAAACAAAGAGAGTCAGAGAATTTAATAAGCTGAAGAGAGTGCAACAAAGTCTTATGCAAGGCTCACATAAATTGACTATCTTGCCCTTCTTTAGAACATATTTTCCTAATGAAACATACTGGTGGGTGAGAAAGTATCATTTTAAAAATTAATGGGTGGGAAAGTGTTATTTTGCCAAACCTTGGGTGGGAATATGTTGTTCTCCCCTTTAAATTTTGTTGAAAGCCTAATTAGTAAATACGAATTTTATACGTATTATACAAAGGACTACTGAATTATTCGCGAATTTTTGAAAAAAAAAAAAAAAAAACTAATTGAAACGACGTCGTTTTAGTGGGGGAAGAAGAAATTAGTGGTAAGGCGTAAGAGAAGAGATTGGAAAAGGAGGGAATAAAAAATAACCCTCTCAAAGACATCCATTTTCCCGCCCATTCCCCACAACCTGACACCTTTACATTTAAACTCAAACACACATACAAATAATTTCATATTTTTAAATTATTTTCATGTTATCTGATAAATTAGATTGGATTAAGATATTAAAATAATAATTTATTGTGAAAAAAAAACTGTCATATATTAGGTATAAAAATAATAGTTAGATATTGAACCACTAATCTTTTATATAGATCTGTGAGACAAAATTTTAGTTTTTGATTTAAATAATTTAATGGATTAATGGGAAGTTAAAATTAGTTGCATTTAATATCAAACTTATCAAGTTTTAAATCAGTAAAGAATCGTGGCTAAATATTGTGTTTGAGTTTGGAGACTATAATTTGAATATTAGTTATATATTGTATATTTGTGTTATTGGTTAATTGAATACTTTGCATTTGAAATACTATATTGATTTTAGTCAAGTAATCCATAAAAGTATTAAAACTAAGATTGATATTATCGTATTTTTCAAAACATATTATTGACAATACACCGTATTAAACCTGTATATACCCGTACCGTATTTTTCTCGTATCCGAATTTTATGGCTAAATTTTTATAAACGTATTTTTTACTGTTTGCCATATTATACCCGTAAAATTCCCGTACCCTTTTTTTGTCGTACCTGTATTTACTAACTAGGGTTGAAAATACCCAACATGCACACGTATAAATAGTTTTTATAGTCAAGTGCGGCAATATTTACCCGAAAATGATAGAGCCACCGAAGGTTACGCACTGAATCTGTGCACCGAATGACGTGACAGAATATTGACCGTTGATTAATATTAACTGATAATGAATCAACAGTCAAGATTTTGTCACGTCATTCGGTGTACAGATTCGGTGTATAACCTTCAATAACTGTAGCATTACTCATATTTACCGACTGATCTTGTCAGCTTCTCGTTGACTTTTGGACAGGAAACAAAGGAAACAACTTCAGACATTCACGATGACTAGATCTACCATTATGGAAAATGGGGTTACATCTGGCATCACATTTTTGTCCATTATTTTCTGAAGCAGTTCAACCTCTTTAGTTGCCTTATCATTTCGTAAGAAATCTTGCATAAGAGTATTATATGAATTACATCTGGAGCACCTATTTTTTCCCATATCTAATAAAAAATCATACGTCTTCTCTACTTTAATTACCATTATGATCGCAAACGGACACAGGACAAGAGGTCTATATTGTATATGATAATACTGTTATTTTGGCCTAGCCTAGCTTCTTTGGACGAGACTGCAATCCGTCCAAGAAATACAGTAGCATCGGGTTCCATAGAGAGTAATATTACTTGCACTCTAACTAGATGAGAAATATGAGTTGATTTTGTGTTGAGATTTGCATATGCTGAAGGTGTCTTCAAACTTTATGGAAGTCTTACACTAGTCGGACTGCATTCTCATGTCATATCTGGATGAATTTTGAGAATCTTCTTCTATTAAAATGAGCATCATTTTGTTGAACTTATTTTTCCATCTGATATGAAATCCAGTAAAGTTAAAGATGTTTGTGTGGAGGGAAACACGTGAAGAACTTCATTTTCAATCATCAAAGTTGATTTGACTTGCAGAGAGAGAGAGAGAGAGATTGAAGTGAGATTTGATTGCATATATTAGGGTTGGAAAAAAAAAAAAAAACGAAAACCGAATTAAATCGAAAAACCGGTTTTTCAAATTAACCTGTTCGGTTTCGATTTTCAAAAATAATTAAACTAAATTTTTGGTTCGATTAATGATTTAAGAATAATATTAAACCGGTTTTGAAAAAAAATAAAAAAATCCCTTATTCCCCCCTTCTTCTTGGTATTGGCTCCACAGACCTGCAGTCTGCTACTCTGCTTTTCTGCGCATTTTCTTGGGTTTGGTTCTCATGCAAATACTTTTTTTTTTTTTTTTCACTATTTTCTTTCCTCTTCTTCTTTCTCCTTTCACTGCTTTCTCTTTCTTTTTTCAATTTTTCTTCACATTTTCATCTTCTACTCTGCCTCTCCTTCACCAACTTTTTTATCTTTCATTGTTTTCTCTTTCTTGTCTTCTTTCTCCTTTCACTGCTTTGTCTTTCTTTTTTCAGTTTTTCTTCACATTTTCTTCTTCTTCTCTTCCTCTCCTTCACCAATTTCTCTTTCTTTTTCGTCTTCGTCTCCTTCTCCACTTTTCCTTTTCTTTTTCGTCTTCTTCACCTTGCACTTTCAGTTTTTTTTTCTTTTTCGTCTTCTCCATTTCTTCTCTTTCACTACTTTTCTGTTTAGATTTGGATAAGAAGGGAGAACAGAACATCTGGTTGGACTTTAGCCTTCTTCTTCTTCATCGTTTGGTAAAGCATAATTTTAATTCAAGTAAAAAAAAAACATTGGAAAAAAAAATGGGCCAAAGTAGAGTGTGACCGAATTGAGCTGAAAAAAGCAGGCCATAATTCATAATTGGGCTAAAAAATGCAACCCAATATTTAACAGATTTAAAACCGGTTAACCGAACCGAATTTTCGGTTCAGTTCATAACCAGTTTTTAACCGAAACCGGACCGGTTTCGGTTCAATCATTTTTTTAACCGAAAACCAGTTCGGTTCAAGTTTTCGGTTAACCGGTTTTTTCCACCCCTAACATATATGCAGTATAAAGGAGTAATTGGAAGATGTGTAGGAAGATTTGGTGGCATTTGGTAAAACCTTGTGATGATAGTAACTTTAATTTGGTGATTCTATCATCTTGGAAATCAACAAAATTCTTACTCATTTAGTAAATCATAATGTTAGGTTGATATACCAATCTCATAATCCTGACATATCAGCTCGTAAATGGATAAACACGACTCATAACAAGCAGATGAAACCCATTTACAAGCTGATTAGTTGCAAATCACGAAAGGATTGTAAGAAAAAATTATGAAATTGAGTTATGAACCTAACATTACTCTTTAATCAAAAGGCTAAATTGCTGGGTAATAATGGTCAAGCCAATTGAGCATCAGGCGAAAATATAACCAACTGGACCAAATTATTTAGGAACTAAATCATGAAACGAATGAATACTGCATGCATTGACGAAAGTTTTTTTCTCTCTTCGAGGGTGAAATTGAGCATGGCAGCAAATGGTAATGCTTTTGCATAATCTTTACAAGTTAAATAGTTTACAACAGTGCTATGTTTGTTAAACTGCCAGCAGCAGGTGCACAAAGGGCAATGTGCAGAAAATAAACTTATAGTTGGGTGACCAATTTCATAAATTCACCCTCCTAATAAATACAAATCTCAAACTTAGAAGAAAAAGAAACAAAACTCTGACCGATACAAGACGAGCTGTGTCAGCCCTGTAATAGGGGATTGTTCAAACAATTAATCTTGAGATGGCATATATATAGCAATTCAGTTAGCAATACTTCTGATTTTTTCTGTGAATTTTGTGGTTGCAGGAGCAGATTTGTCGGACTCAGGCCATGGAACTAATAGAGGTATCCAACTAGCAGTTGCAGTAGAAGTCACTAAGTTTACAAACTGAAGTCAAAATTGCATTGATATCAACAAGAATTGGTTGCTTTGCACATCCTTTCAGATCATAGTAAGTCGAACAATCTTTCAAGCTTTCCAAAAACAAAGAAAACATAAAGCACAATCATCATGTAACATTTTTGCAGCAAAATGTTTTCTTTATTATTGTGCATTAATAAGTAGAACACAACATCATTATTTACACTTTGTGAGGCTCTTCAATCTCTCTTCAACGGCTGAGCAAACTTTTTGCTATGCCATTGGAATCAAATTAAATATATTCACTTCGATTCTTCTCGTCGATTCATTGCTTGGATCTATTAGGTTGTATAACATTATACTATGCCAAATTATAGATACGGTAATGGGTTGTGTTGAATAGTGAAAAGATAATCTCACTGCGATCACCAAAAACCAGAACTGAAGATTATGGCATGCAACATTTCAATCAAACCTACTAAATTATATAATCACCATTAAATATATCAGAAAACATTTCCTTAAAATTGAAGAGTATGGCAACCAACATGCTGATTCAAGCTCGAGCTTAGCCTCGAGCTGGTGTTGTTTGAACCAATCCCTCAAGCTCGAATCAGCAGGTTTGATGCCCAGTCTGCAGCATTCTCTTGATTATAAGGCACATTGTGTGCAGAACTCATGATCACAACCTTTATTATAGTATTATGTATCATTGTCTCAGCTATGGAAGGATTTGACCTCGAATCAGAAAAAATAAACAATCCTAATATACAAAGAGATCAGAGATAACAACTTCTGAATTCAATTGTCAGATAACAGAGATCGAAAAACAGGTCAAAGATAACATCATGAATGTTGAAAATAATACATGTAACAAGGCAGTTAAAACCTTCTGTTTTCCTTCTTCTTCGGAGTTGATCATTGTAATTTTGATACCATATCTATGTTGCATGAAAATTTCCATCAGATTTACACAAATCTAATCTGAACCACCACGCCAATTCTAATGTTACCACCAGTTAGAGCCATCAACAATATCACTGCCACCACGAAAAATCAGAAATGCTACTTAAATAACTCACCGCCACAACCAATATACTGCCTTTGACAAAACTAAAATAACACACGCCACCATTATCGTGTTCTATTTATTTGACTCCCACTACACAAGCACTTAATTCACTTCATCACTCACTACCATGTTATCAAAGTCCAAACTTTTGTGCTTGCATTTGTGCATATGAGAGACCCGAAACCACTTTATTCTCCCCAATTCTTTCATCAGCTAGCATGGTTGGATGCCCATTCTGCAGCATTCTCTTTATTATATCCATCCCGAAAGCAGAATCCGATGAACTGTCAAGGAGTAATTTCTCATAAGACAAAGGCAACCCATGCATCAACAACAATTTATCTTGCTACCTCAATTCAACAAAGAGAACGGATTATTTGGTTGATGGCATAAACAGAGAAAGCAGTAAAACAGATTTACTGTCATTTACATTATACACTATATTCGTTCATTTGCCTTTTTTCTTAAAAAAAAAAAAACATACATTTTCGGCTAACTTATTACTATGATTGGGGAAAGGTTCCACATCTAATCAGAAGGTTGTGAATTCAGATTTCTTAATCATATGCAACCAATCAACTGTGTTCAGAGTTCAGACTTAATAGTTATATGCAAATAGCGAAAAGCCAATTATAAGAATAGAAGATAACAAAATTAAACCAAAGAAGATGCATATATATTAAAAGATGATCTAGGATTAACATTTACTTAAGAGATTAAATATAAAATGTATGTCAAATATGCGTACATGGAGCTTGTAATAACAAATCATATACTTTTTATAGCTTCCCTTCTTCACAAAAACCCACGGATGAAGATGGAGTATGTCACAACGTCTAGCATTAGGCCTTTTTGAGGCAACTTGTGAAATATCTCCAAAGCAATTTCGATCATTCCATTTTTACACAACCCATCAATGAGGCTGGCAATTTTAAACTAGTAGTTCTCCAAGTATAAAAAAATTTGCTACCTCCAAAACACCATTCTCACATATCCCATCAACCAAAATATTATTGTAACTGAATCAGGTGCGATATTATAAAGTTTCATCTCATCAAATAGTTTCCATACATCTCCAACTTTGTTTGATAGAAAAAAACTGGTTAACAAAGTGTTATACGTAAACACTGTCTGTTTAATTCCCTTTGAAATCATTCCCATGTAAAGAATGATAGCATTCTCTAATTTCCAAACCTCTTTGAATAATCAATTCCAACAACCAATCAGCTTCCTCTATCTTCCTCTCCTTGCAAAACCCACTTACCATTGTATTATACGTCAGTAAATTAGGCTGCAAACCTTGATCTGCCATCTCAACAAACAAGCCTTTAGCCTCCTCCAAATTTCCCACAAAACACCAACCGTAAATTAGAGAGTTAAAAACAACCACATCTGGCTTAATTCTCTTCCCCTTCATTTCCAAAAAATATTCTTTTGCCTTATCTACCAACCCATCTTTGCAAAGACCATCTATAATACTACCATAAGAAATAATATCAGGCTTGCAGATAACACCCCCTTCACCATTACCAGCAACCATTTCTTCATGCAATCTAAGCACAACGCTAGTGTTCCCTGTCTGACACAACCGCTTAATTAATGTCCAATACATAAGCGCGTCAGGCCTGACCGCAAACACAGCCATTTTCTTGAACAACTCCATAGCCTCCAAACTCCTATTCTCTAAACAAAAACCTTTAATCAAAAAAGTGAAAGTCACAACATTTGGTCTTAAACGCCGCCTCAAAATCCTCCCAAAAACAACAAAACCATCAGGATTACAACCCTTACTCTCCATAGAGATTAGCAGCTCCTTTGCATCATTAGATCTATGCAGCAAGCAATAACCATCCATCAAAGTTGTATAAGTAAATATGTCTGGTTGCAAACCTCTTTGAATCATTAGTTCTAACAATCCATTAGCTTCCTCAATCTTCCCCTCCTTGCAAAGCCCACTTATCATTGTAGTAAATGTCACCACATCAGGCTGCAAACCTCTTTGAATCATCAATTCTAACCATTCATTAGCTTCCTCGATCTTCCCCTCCATGCAAATCCCACTTATCATTGTATTATATGTCACCACATCAGGCTGCAAACCTCTTTGAATCATTAATTCCAAATACCCATTAGCTTCTTCCATCTTCCCCTCCTTGCAAAACCCACTTATCACTGTATTATACATTATCACATTAGGCTGCAAACCTTGATCCACCATCTCTTCGTGTATCCTAAGTGCAATACTGGTATCACCTGTTCTACACAACCCGTTAATCAAAGTCCCACATGTAATCACGTTAGGCCTAACCCCAAACACAACCATTTTCTTGAACAACTCCACAGCCTCCATACTCCTATTCTCCAAACACAAACCTTTAATCAAAGAATTAAAAGTCACAACACTAGGGCTAGAACCCCACCTCAAAATCCTCCCCAAAACAACAAAACCATCACAAACTCGACCCACATTGCAAAAGCAATGAATCAAAATAGTCAAAGTGATTAAATCTGGCAACAACCCCATTGAATCCACTCGCTTGTAAAGCAAATTAACGTCTTCATAAAACTTTTTCTTAGCCAGTGCTCCAAACAACTGGTTGAATGATGAAATTGGTGGTTTGGGTTGCATATGAATCATATATCCAAAGAAATATCGTGCTTCATCAAGAGTGACATTACCTTCTTTACAATCATTTTTCAGGAATTTCTCAAGCTGGGTTACGTTAAGTACTAAATGTTGTGGAATAGTTGTAGTCACTTTACCTGGTTTTGTGAATAAAGAAGGAGAAGAAGAAAAACAACGAATCAAGCTTTTGGGCAACATTTCAGTGGCGCCGTTTGTGGATTGTCTGGGTTTCAAGCTAAACATTCATCTTAATTAAAATTTAAAATGGGGCTTAATAGAAAGAGTAATGTTACAGTTACGAAAAGTAGTGTATCGAATTCATGCATAGAATGACGTGATATAATCTTGACTGTCGATTAATATTAAGTTATAATTAATCGACGGTTAGAATTATACCACGTCATTCTGTACATTAATTCGGTGCATTACTTTCGGTGACTGTATTATTTTCCTAATAGAAAATAGGTGGGGGCTACTTAGCATCACTCTTTAATCTTTATCGATTGGAAAATAGTTTTTTTACATTTAGCATTTCTCTTATCAGGTTATATATATGATTAATATTTTTTTATTAATATCATTTACACCTTTAGAAGAAAATAGGTGAGGGAATGTTGTATTACTGAGAATGTTATATTAATTAAATGATAGATTACCTTAAGGATGCGTTTGGTTCAGGAAATGTTGGATTACTAAGAATGTTATATTAATTAAATAATATATTACCTTAAGGGGGCGTTTGGTTCAGGAATGTTAGATTACTGGAAAGATAGATTACCTTGGAAGATTACTGGGAATCTTTAAGAAAATATGTTTGGTTAGTTGGTGGGTATGTTATATTAATATGTTTGGTTATGGGAATAAATTGCTGGGTATGTTATTTAAATTACTAAATTGACCCTCTTTTAAATATTAATATAATATTATTTTTATTATTAATTTTTGAATAATTCTTTTAACCCCCAATATTTCGATTTAGCTAAAACACCCCCGCTTATAAAAAAACTTTAATTTATGACGAAATCACCCCAACCTCCTGCCGCCGCCTGTCGCCATCGCGAACCACAGCCGGAAAATCTCCGGAGCCCCTAAAAAAGAAGAAAATTATGTGGGAGGCTCCGGAAGGCTTTGTTATGGCCGTTTCCTGCCATATTGATGGCCGAAAACGGCCATATCAGGCCAGATCGATGTATCTGGCCGTTAACGGCCAAATCTGGCCTATTATGGCCGTTTTGGGCCATCAATATGGCCGGAAACGGCCATAACGAAGCTCCCCAGAGCCTCCCACAAAATTTTCTTCTTCATTAGGGACTCCGGTGATTTTCCGGTAGTGGTCTGTGGTGGTTGGCCTGTTGTCGGCGGTGGTGGCTGGGTGGCAATGGTGGTGGTGGCTGGGTGGTAGTGGTGGTCCGTAAATAATTTTAAATATAAGGGCATTATTGTCCAAAATTTTAATTAAACAAGGGTAAAATTGAAATAGAATATTAATGTAAATTTGTTTTAAAGTAGGGGTATTATTGTCTAAAAATTTTATTAATAAGGGATAAAATTGTATCAAAAAAAGATAACCCTGATAATCTCAGAATACCTAAGAAAATGGAGGTAATCAGATTACCTCTGATATTACCAATAGTAACCACTATTGGTATTTGAAGATTACTGGTATCTGATATTACTTGACAACCAAACATGGTAATCAAGTAATATAAGATGACATTATCTCAGTAATCCCACTTAACCCCCAACCGAACACCCCCTAAGGGTGCATTTGGTTCAGGGAATGTTGGATTACTGAGAATGATGGATTACTAAAAAGTTAAATTATCTTAAAGATTACTAGGAATCTTTAGGAAAATGTGTTTGGTTAGTTTAAATAAATTAGTGGATATATTATACTAATATGTTTGGTTGGGAGAAATAAATTTGTGAATATGTTATTTAAATTACTAAATTGCCCTCTTTTACAATATTAATATAATATTATTTTTATTATTAATTTTTGAATAGTTTTTATAACCCCCAACATTTAAAATTTAGCTAAAACACCCCCGCTTATATAAAACTTTAATTTATAGCAAAATCACCCCCACCACCCAAGCCATTGCCCGCCACTGCCATTCGCCACTGGAAGTAATTTGGAGTCACCGTGAGTAGCCGAGAGACATTGGGAGACTCTGATATGGTCGTTTCAGGACATATTGATGGTAAAAAATGCCATATCAGAGTAGATCTAGCCATTAACAGGTCGGAATAGATCTAGCCATTAACAGGTCGGAATAGATCTAGCCATTAATGGCCATATTTCATCCATATATGGCCAATAAAGGTCATGGATCTGGCCAGAATAGATCTAGCCATTTCCAGCCAAATCTACTCCGGTATGGACATTTTCGGCCATCAATGTGGCTAGAAACGACCATATTGGAGCCTCCAGGTGACAATGGGCTATTCACGTGATTTCCAATGGCGGCCGATGATGGTTTGGCTGGCGACAGGTGGGTAGGGGTGATGGGTTGGGTGGCCTGCAATTAGTTTTGAATTCAAGGGTAATTTTGCCCAAAAAATTAATTAATTGGGGTTAAATAGTAAAAGTCAAATTCATGTAAATTAATTTAAAAATAAGGGTACTATTGTCCTAAAATTTTATTAATAAGGAATAGAATTATAACAAAAATAAGATTACCTCGGTAGTCTTACAATACCAAAGAAAATGGAGGTTATCAGATTATCTCCAATATTACCAACAATAACAATTATTAGTATTGGAAGATTACTGAAATCTTATATAACTTGACAACCAAACATGGTTATCAAGTAATATAAGATGACATAACCTCAGTAATCCCATATAACCCCCAACCAAATGCCCCCTAAAGATTATTGGAAATCTTTAAGAAAATGTGTTTAGTTAGGTTAGAATAAATTGATAGGTATGTTATATTGGTTAGGTTGGAATAAACTGGTAGAAATGTTATATAGATTACTATATTGCTTTCCTTTTTAAATATTAATATAATATTATTTTTATTATTTTTTTAATCATTTCTTTTAACACCTTACATTTGAAATTTTGCTAAAATATCGCAACTATATAAAAGTTTAATTTATAACAAAATCACCCCCACCCACCCAAGCCACTGCCGCTACTATCTGCAATCGTCAAAACGACGCACGATCAACCAGATGTGGCCAGTCGTATGCCAATCTAGTCATGGATTTGGCCAAAATTCTCGCCATTTCTAGCCAGATTTGTGGCTGTTGTGCACCATGGATCTCGCCATTAACGACCAGATCCATTTTAGCGTTGTGGGCCCAAAATCTGGCCGTTAATTGGTAGATCCATTGATTTGGCCGAAAACAGCCAAATTGGTGCATGATAGGCCATATCTAGCCGATCATGCACATTTTGACGACTGCCTGCAACCGGTGGTGGGTGCCCAGCAGGCGACAGTGGTCTTGGGTTGCCTACAATTTGTTTTAAATACAAGGGCATTATTGTCCAAAAACTGAATTAATTTAGGGTAAAATTGTAATGGCAGGTTCATGTAAATTAATTTCAAAATAAGAGCATTTTTGTCTAAAAAATCTATTAATAAGGAATAAATTATAAGAAAATTAACCTTACCATTTAATCTTAAAATACCTAAGAAAATATAGGTAATCAGATAACCACTTATATAACCAACAGTAATTATTATTGGTTTTAGAAGATTACCGAAATCTTATATTGCTTGACAAACAAACGTGGTAATCTAAGTAACTTAAGATTTTGGTTTTAGAAGATTACCGGAATTTTATATTGCTTGACAACCAAAGGTGATAATCTAAGTAAATATAAGATGACATTACCTCAATAACAATGGTTAACCCCAACCAAATAGCGAATGTTGAAAATGATGTAAAAATGCATGGAAAATTTTAAATTTTAATAAAGTTATTGATGCATGATTTTGACACTAACTAAACGCACGTGAGAAATGCTAAGCTGACTCAGAAGACACACATGTATAGGGGTATTGAACTGAATAAAAGAAGAAGAATAGTGTTTAAAGTGGTTCGGATGCTTAAGTAAGCGAATCCTATGTCCACTGGTATCGTATTAATATATTTGAGATCAGGTCGCGTTCAGCGAGCTGATTTACTAGAGGTTACAAGAGAGAGAGAAAATATATATATATATATATACTATTCTAGAGAGAAATTAGCTAATCCCACAAACGGGAGAGGATCCATTTATTTATAGTGGGATGAATTGAGGTAATGATTACTAAATCGGGGAGTGGGTCAGATTGCCGTGCAAATCCTTTCTAGCGTCCCGTTGCTCACCTGCTCGAGTGATTTACTCGACTCTTGCAAGGATTGGACACGTGGATCGCCTCCAGCCTGGCGCACACCTACTGCACTAGCAGGAGCATGTCGCTTACGTCAACGTGCGACGTGGCTACGTCTGAATGGTTGCTAGACTTACCTAAGCTCTGACCACTTACGCTGACAGGGCTTTGCGTCAATCTTACTTTTCCAGGCATAACAGAAGTCCCATAGTTTTTAAGGTTTGAGAATCAAACCTTGGAAACTACATATTATGCCTTGATTTGATGCGTTTGACGAGATACTGGTTGATCCGACCTGGATGCAAAGAGGTTGAAGAAACGTTTCCACATAGGCGACCTAACACGGCTTGCTCCTTGGGATCAACGACCTATTCTCAGACCATGTTCAGTGCCATAACGATGACTAGTTTTCGACCGAGGTCTGCGACCTTATTGCACTTAGCGGTATTTTTTCCAGAAGGGTTCACGTCGCTTCACAACTAACGTAAGACAATCGAAGAGTCATGTCGCTTCGCGACCGACATAAGACAAAGAGTGTTATATATAACGACCTCTTTAGATGTTATCCATTGCACTTTTGTAGCTGACACATTTAATGAAATATCATTTGCTCTGATAGACGTGTCTTGTGCGCAATAAGTGCCAGCCATGCGCATTAAATGCGAGCCATGCTGAAACGACATTCCATATCAGATCATTAAATGCGGATGTGGGCGCTTTCAATGTGGAGGAGGGAAAATATGCCATCGCTTGAGTGTTTCAACGGAAGGGGACGACGAGTTGGTTTCTTAAAGCATGACGGTCACTCTTCTTCGTTGATTTGCGAGACATGGTCGCAATCAACGGTCAGATGCGTTTTCCGGCCAAATGTCGTTTGACTTCGAGAAACCAAAGCGCCACTTCCTTCACTAT